GATTCACCCACGCGTGGAGAAGACCACGATGACTGGGATTGGGTTTGGCCGAGCACAGTCCCATGTACAAGTACCGTATGACGAGGGGGAAGAATCTTTATCACGCTCGAGACCCCCAGGGTAACGCAGAGACAAGGTTGGGGTCTTGTTTGTGACGCATTATTCGGAGGGTTTTGAGGTAAATGTGGCCTCGGTCACATGGGAGGCTGGGGAGTTGTTCATAGTTCAACTTCAAGAGGTTCGTATATCCCTGAGCTCTTGATATACTTGACGTCCTTGTTCCAATTCACTCCGACCGCAACCATATCTTGACCTCTCGACATCTTGCGGGGGAATAATCTGCTCACTGGTCCGCTGAGCCGGATATGTACATGGATTTCACGACCAATCCTGTTCAGAGGGGCGCGGACCTTGCGGAAGAATATAAAATGGCGACCCCCCACCTCTCCTGAATTGACCGAGATGGGTTGGTCATAGCGCGTCAAACTGTATTCTGGGATGTTACTATTGCATTAGGGTTGAAGGATTTCCGGATTTGAAACTTTGGCGTCTACCTACTTGATTGCTATTGTTCTATTGCTTATGCATGCTCTCTCTCTCTCCCTCTCTCTCTCTATATACATACCGATCTCATGCGCTTGTTCAGACTGTACATTATACATGCAGATCGCAGTCCAGGTGTGACTACATTCGCCTCGCCCAGAAGGTACTCTTGGCAGGCTGACTGCATCGTGCAGGACTTATTGCAGTTTGGCATCATCGTACAGTAGTGGCTAGACGGGATCCGGTTATGAGGGGTTGAGAGCTCGTGTTTGATGCGGTCGTGAATATATTTTATAGAAGAGGCTGATGTATATAAAAATGCATACATCGTACGGACAATGACAATGTCCACAATAAAGTGGAGAACAGCATTTGCAGTTGCCCAAGTAAAACAAGTAAGAGAATAATAGAATAGCACAAGAATAGTAATGGAAGTGTTAGGGCGCACGCTTAGACACTCCAATCTCCGGTGACCGGGGCCGGTTTAGACGAATGAGAAGACTTGGGTTGCCGGGAATTGCCGCGTTGAATATCGAACAGAGAGGGAAAAGGACGAATACAATGCGTTTGAAGTCGCTAAAATATGGTGACATCCATATAGATGCCTAGAGGAGACTTGATAGTTAATAATAAGAAAGCAGTGTTGTACATCGAGAAAAGTAGACTCCTTTTCGTGCAAGAAAAAAAACTCCCCCCCTCCTCCCCTCTATAAGGTAATACACCCACACCCCCATAGGGACCCTCTCTCCTTTTCTTTTCCCTTTTGCCTCGTTGACTCGTGGTAGAATCACAAGAGGCCCTCCCTAGTAAGTGTTGACTCTTTTGCGATATACATGTATACTCGGGTCTTTCTGGTGCCTGTTTGTTTTGAGTCGGAATAGTCTCAAGTCTGAGGATTTGACGGACTTTTTTTTTTCACACTCAATAACTTGCTGGATTCCCCACGAAAAACCCCGGTGTTCCCTCTCTCTTTTACGTTGACATTTGGGTTGAAACGTGTTGTGGATCGGAACTCACATTTTTTCGCCTCGACAGATCGCCTCCGCGCTGTTCTGCCCCTGAACACCTTCCACGGTCTCTCTCGAAACAATGTCTTCGTACTACGAACCTCAGGGCTGGCAAGCACCTGCTGCGCGCCAGGTCTCATGGGAGCAACCGGTTCCTCCCTCCCGGTCAGGTATGGAGTGAAATTCGGTGATCGGAGAGGAGCACACACTAACATTTCTCAGGATCCAGCTCGGTCTCCCAGCGCGAGGACTCCCCGGCCTTCTCCTCTCAGTTTGACGGTATGGACACACTTTCTATTGGAAATTTCAAGATGCCTCTCGGATTGAGAGTATCGACATACAATGGACAACGGCTGACGTTTGAAAAGAGGTTGATCGTGCGATCGACAATCTCGTCAAGAGCGGGAAGCTGTGGAATGCTCCTCGACGGGACTCGATGCCCATGATGATGGGCCGGCCCTACCCTGACTACGGTATGTTACGGGTACAAATGGCACGCAGAACGCGTTTCTGACTTGTCCTTTGACAGACCCTCGCATGGGTGGTGGCCCCCAGCGACACCATTCGATCAGCGAGTTCGATGGCTCGCGGATGCCCCCGTCCGGCAATGCCCAGGGCTTCTACGCCTCGCAGCGGTACCAGGGTCGTCCCAACGAGGTGGAACAAATGATGCAGGCGAAGCGTCGGATGGCGGCACAGCGTGAGAGGGAACTCCGCAACTATCACCAGGAACAACAGTACAACCGAAGTACGTGGTAGCGTCTGATTTTCTCTCCTTTTTTTTTTGAGCCTCGTTATATTCCCCCGTCGGCTTTTTCATTTTCATATTCGTCTATATCTTGTCGGCCTTGTGTAATATATTTGGTTTGGCTTTTTGTTGTCTCTTGTGAACACGGGGTTTTAATACGTTTTCTTCTTCCTTTCAAGGCCTCCTCGCCGAAATGTCCGCAAGCAAATCCGATCGTTCCACCAGCCCGGCTGCCGTGAGCGAAGACAGCCGCCGTGAGCTCCTCGCCCGCCAGCACCGCGCCCTGTACGGCAACGAAAGCCCGGCCTTCTTCCCGCCTGGTGCCTTCTCCGATGATAACTCACGCCCCGATAGCCAAGCCGGTGGTGCCACCCCGTCCTCCGGCGTGCGCGGCTCATCCCCCCGAGGCGTGGACCCATTCGGCCTGACCCAGGCTGGCGCCGCTAGTGCTGACGCAGCTCTGCAGTCGCCCTCCCGTGCTAACAGCACCTCCTCGCCTAGCTCTGCCATCAACGCCGGCTTCGGCGACCAGCCCGTAACCTCGACCTCGTCGCCCGGTGCCGACTCGCCTTCCTCCCGCCAGGCCCCATCCAAACCCGTTGCCGGTCCTATCGGCTCTGTCGGCCCCATCGGCTCCCGACCTGTCCCCGGTCAAACTACCGCTCCTCCCTCCAACCCAGCCCTGAACAAGCGTTCGACTACCCCGCTTCCTTCCCCGCTGGGTCTGGGCTTCACCTCTGCAGACCCAGCCACTGGCCCTGTCACCGAGCGTACCTCCTCCGCCGGTCCTACCCCAGTTGTCCCTTCAGCTGTTGGACCCGGCGCCAAGGACCCGACCGGCGGTGTCAGCCTCGGCTGGAGCAATGGCAGCGGAGTCTGGGGCTCAAAGAGCGGACTCGGCGTCCAGGCATCAGTCTGGGGTTAAGCCGAACCCGCGATCCGAGTGAGCATTGGCAATATTGCACTTGGCATTTTTCTTGCTTGTGGCGTTGTGAGAACAAAAGCGGAAGCCTTTCATTGCTTTGAAATTCGACATACGGATTTGATTTCGAGTCTGGTACATATCATTCGGCAGAAGGATGCTGGTTCTTTTTTAGGTGCGCTCGGCCCGGTTTTTGCTTTTTTATTTCATTTCATGGTTTTTGGTTGTTTTCATTGGAAAGGACTGGGGTGCTGTTTTGGTTTTTCCCTCTTTGGTGTCTTGCGGATGGTGTCCGCTTAGGAATTGTGGATCATATCATGTCTTCTCTCGTATCTCGGGTCAGCATTTTGTGATTCTTTTTATGTTTTCTGCTCCGGTGCCAATGCGGAATGGTCGGAATAATGGCGCTTATTTTCGAAGCTCGTGGGTCATTTCTCGGTGTTTTTCATGTCGGATATGCAAAGGTTTTTTTCTTCTTCTTTTCTTCTGGGGGTCGGTTCGGGATCTGCACATTGAACTTGTTTTATGGATATTGGTCTGCCTGTTTCTCTACCTCCGCGGAGAGGGAGGCAAATCGAGGCTCAAAACGGATATTTGATTTGGATATTGATTTAATTTTCTTGTTTCATTTGTCTTTTTCTGTTGGTTGGTGAGAATTGGTAACGATATAATGCCACTACAGATGTAAAAAGGACTGGAGTCTGTTCTATACCTCGGCTGGGACACTGGGATATTGGGCTTCATTTCGACCCCGTGCCGGTACTGCTCGGACATCAATGGGGTTTGGATCGGGATACGGACTGGAAATGGGCTTCTGCTTTATCTTATCTTGTCTTTATCTTCTTTCTTATGTTTACTTGGCCTTGGCTTTGGCTACTGGTACTTGGTTCAACCTGGTATATGACCTCGGTTTCTGGTTTCTAGTATCGCGTTCGGCGTGGCATACGATATGGTACCATGTCTCTTGGGTTGGTTATGTGGGATATCGGTAGTCTGGTTATATTGGCGTAGCTTCACTTGCTCTAGAAAATATTGTCAGCCTCATTCACAGTATGAGAAATCATTTTGGGGGCATATTCAGATACCTGGGCAAGTCTATCCGACAAGAGAAATAGTAAATTGAGACATTGGAAAGGGGCAGGTGAAATTATATTGCTAATGAACGCCATATTCTGACATGAATCCTCTACATTTGAGGGTTGCCTGATTGACAGGAAGGGCCAGCTTTATGAGCATATGGTTCTGAGCCTTAACTTTAATGATCTATAGATTAACAGGTAAAATGTGTCGATTCGAGGCCATCCCAAGCACTTTCTATGTAATAGTCTAGAAGAAAAGACCCTGTGGCATCCGGTGCCAATTCTCCGGTTTCATCTTAAATTACGCTTACATGTAGGGCTGCGGCATAAAGCCACCGTCATTGGAGCATTCTCATTCACTATTTCCCGAAAAGATACCGAAATGAAGGAACCAGGGACATTGGGGTCACGGAGGAAGTCTAAGCCAAGAACATCTAGTTGTGAAGAAACCGGGTGTTCCATATTAATAGCGTTGAAACAGGGTTTTACTAGGCACGGGTGATGCACCAATTTCATTCGCTTTTACTATATATCAGACGATTACACTGCCCATCTGTGCACCTGTCGCCGGTGATGTGACCGCTAGCGCAGTAGATTTATATCCGTATCCGTATTCCTGAATAGAGCTATAGTGATATAAAGGGCTGCAGATCCCAACATCCGGGAAATCGACAAGCAGCACCACCGACTCTACCCCCAACATGCGTGGGACTTTCGTTCTTTCTCTGCTTTCGGCGCTGGGCGCCTCAGCTTCGCTCCTCAAGTCCAACCTCAAAAGTAATGTCGACGTGCTGGCGCTCGACTATGCCTTCAACCCCGTAAAGGCAGCGTACTGGACCGGCTACCCCCACCACCGCCGTACCCCATTCTCCGTCTCGCCTGACGGAAAGTCCGCATATATCGCGTACCTTGATTCCAGTGCGACCGATGTCCACGTCCAGCAATTGGACCCCGAAACCTTCACAGCTACCGGAACCACCGTCACCATCAGCGGCGGAAAGGAAGGTACGCAACATTAGCCCTAACTCCCCCCAAACAATAAAAAAAAGTCCACCAACTAACACCACCTCAGCTGGTGGTCTCGTCGCCCACAACGATGGTTTCGCCCTTTTAACCAACGAGGCCATGCCCTCAGGAACAACCAACGCCCCACCAAGCGACATCCCAGTCCCAGTCCTGTACCGCTACACCAGCGGGAAGCAAACCTTCAAGACCTGGCTGGGCGGGCCAGACGTTCATACCTCGGACGGCCGCTCCGCCTCGCCTGACATGAACGGCGACCTCGTCTACTCTGAAGAAGCAGGCCTTTACGGCGCCTACTTCGTAGTAACAAACTACTCAGGCGACGCATCTGGCCACTTCGGTGACAGCATCGAATACGCTTCAACAAACGGAGCCCTGGTCACAATCACCGGCGCCTCCAGCTCCTGGGGCTGCAGCCACAACACGGGTATTGCCTTTGAAGCCGCGGACGCTGCTCCCTTTGCCAGTATCTGCGCCGAGGACCAGGGTGCTATCTGGCTCAATACCAAGACTCAGGGTATGAATACCGACGGTGTTAAGATTTCCAACGAGAATACCACCAACGGTGCCGGTGGTGAGGCTATGGGTGGTATGTCTGGTAGTTACAGTGCTCTTGCGCGCTTTGCCGAGACGACGAAGTATATCTTTGCCTGGGTTTCCCGTGGTGCTATGGATGTGACTGAGAACGAGTGGATGGGATCTGGATATACAAATGTGCAGAACCGGACTAATGGGCGCAATGTTGCTATTTCGTTGTTCTCGGATAAGTATACCAAGGTTGGTGCACAGGCTACTTCTGTTGTTGGCACCGAGGATGGTGATAGCCAGGTCAACTGGGTGACGAATGGATCGAATGACTGCTCTAATGCTCATACTGCTACCTTTGGCAGTGATAATGCTGTTGTTTCTTGGGAGGAGATCTCCAACCCTACTTGTGATTTCATTGCTATGGGTTGTCGGGGTACTTTTGCTGGTACTTTCTTCCAGCAGGTTGATTCCACTGGCGCGAAGGTTGGTGACGCAATCTCCAGTGAGGATGTCTATGTAGCTGGTGATATGGTTACTATGTCTGGTGGTCGTATTTGCTGGCCTTATGTTAGCATGATTTGGAATCTGTCGCAGGCTGTCGATGACTCTGCTTCTGGGTCTAGTACTAAGAAGATGAGTATCGCTTGCCTGAGCCTTCAGGATGTTGACTCTTCTGTTGCTTCCTCTGCTTCGTCTACCTCGTCTGCTACGGTTGCTGGTACTATTAATGCTGCCTCTGTTACTTCTACTTCTACTGCCGCCGCTGCCACTGCCTCCGTAGATGCCTCTTCCAACGTCGCAACTGAGGCTTCTGACGCCTCAGCTAGCGCCTCGGCTGACGTCGCTTCCGTTGTGGTTCCTGCCACCTCATCTGCTGCCGCTCCTGCTGTCTGCGATGCTACATCAGGTGTTTCGTCGGATACTTTGTCCGGGATTTCCTCCGCTGGGGCCGTCGCTGCCTCAGAGGCCTCATCTGAAGCCTCAAATGCTTCTCCTGAGATTTCCGCTGCTACATCCGCTACCCCAATCACCACTGCCGCCTCCGGCAGCACCGATACAGGCTTCGAAGGAGCCATTCCCTCTGCCATCCCCTCTGAGGCCGCCCCTGTCTTCCAGTCGGGTGCTTCCTCCAGCATCCCGGTTGTATTCCCCTCTGGCTTCGCTTCCGGTGTCCCTTACGACCTGTTCCTGCCCACTGGCTTGCCTTTGGCTGAGATATCCGATGAGTCTGCGTTCGCTGCTTGCACTGGTACTCCTAAGCATCGCGGTAACCTCGGTCATCACTCCCACCATGGAAATCTTGGACACCACACTCACCGTGAACACCATGTTAGCTTGTTTCCTGATTTCTAGAGGGGTTTGAGGGTTTCTATATGTATGTATGTTGTCTGCGAGATGTAATTTGATTCATGAGGCTATACTACGTTCGTCAACTAGTGAGAATTTATTAAATCTTTGTGGAAGTTGTAGCCAGGAATGTTTCAGATCGGTCTTATTAAGTCGAGGGTTGAAATCAGCCAATCATAAGTCATTTTTTCGATGGGTTTTCAAAGAAATTGGTAGTGTCAATCAGCTAGAAAGAAGCAGTCTAAGCTGCTGAGCTTCTAAATGCTTGGCTACTATTGACAAGAGTGACATAAGATAAGAAGAAGCTCTAACCAAAATATCATTTAGAATTAAGCATTATAATGTCTTGAGCACACATCGGACTTAAGGGCTCCGGTCACAAAACGTGTTACCAGCCCTAAAGATTAAAAGACATGGTTCGTTGATCAGTGTTGTCTTGTTCGTAGTCACCGCAACATTTCCAACCATAATCAGACAGAGCTGGTGTTTGCGGCAGGAGTCTGGACATGATCACCAGAGCCCGCAGCAGCAGGAACCTCATGCTCAATCTTCCTCTTCGCAGTGAAGAGACCAACCACTCCACGCTCCTGGTTCGAACCAAGCCAAGGCTTACGAGCCTCAGCGAGGACCCGACGGCCAATGAAGTAGATGAGCTGACCAACAATGATCAGAACAAAGGCAATGGGATACATCCAGTGGATGTGGTAGTGGAAGACCTCAACACCGATGATAACACCCCAGAAGTTCATAGTGAGCATGGAGATGTTGAAGAAGGCGGCAGAAGAGAGACGGAAGAGCAGCGGGGCGAGCATGTAGAACATACTCAGACAAAGAGTATAGCCAGTCAGGTAGCCGCCGACCTTGCCGTTCCAGTGGGCTGTAGCGAAAGAGCTGCGGTCGAAGATTCCAGCTTGGACACCGTTGATGATCATACCAAAGAAGGACATCTGTCCGAGAACTTCGTAGACAGGACGCGTGCTGACGAAGTACTCTTCACCGGTGTTGGTGAAGCCGTAGAAGGTAGCGCCTAGAAGCGCGAATAAGTCGCCCTTGAGCTGGTTGCCACCCGAAACGTCTCCGCCGTTGGTGCCGGTAATGTGGTCAGATGCAATGAGGATCCCCATGCCGCCGATACAGATTAGGATACCCAGGACTTGAGAGATGTGGTATCGGACTTTCAAGAAGATGAAGGAGAGGATCACGACCACGACGATGGCCCAGAAGTTGATCAGTTGTGCACTCAGCATGGTTGTATATTTATATGCCAGCACAATAAAGTAGTTGCCTTCCACGTCGCAGAATGCAAGTATTATATCTATTGCTGTTAGCAGGGAACTTTTGCGGGGAATTAAGAGGACCAACATTTCCAGCCGTCACGCCATATCAATCGGAGCCAGCCCTTGAAGCCGTAACGGTATATAGTGTAAGGAGTAAAGATTGCGTTCAACAACACATAGTTCAAAAATGTCTGGAACGCGGTGATTGACCATTTCTCTTGACCGAGGAGGGTGGTAAAGGTACCCGTCGCAGTATTGGCAATAGCAAGGATTTGGCTGTAGACATGTTAGGCACGGAGTTCCGAGCTTGTGAAGTTGGACAAAACTCACCCTAAAACAAGGACCATGTAAAACTCCTTGGTCTTGAAGTAGGCCAGACGGCCCTTCTTCTGCTTATCAACCTGGTCCGCTGGCTGCTCAGGGCGCTCAGTCTCTTCCTCCCGGGAAGAACTCTGCGCAACTGCCACCGCAGCGTCTTTGGGCAGCGATTGAGCAGAAGAAATCGCGCGAGAATCATAGTCCACAGTGGACGCATGCACGGTGACTTGGTCCTTCGACTCAGACATGACCGTAAAATCGAAAAAGCGGGGTTGAAATAATCGCAGACCGTAGTCTAGGGCAATCTATAATGCTAGAAGGGGAGCTTTATAAAAGATGAACGAGCGCAAAACTCCCTAAGTCGCTCGTATAAGGCAGTAAACACCGACACACAGAAAAGTTAGAACGGAAGAAAAATCTCTTAAGACTAGAGAAGTGCGCGGAGGCCTGGAACCTTTCCTAATCGGGTCATCTCGATAAGAATCTGCCATGCTGATAGTACTGGCCAATCAAGAATGGGACAGTGGAGGCGGTAAGGGTCTGTGCCCGTCTGAGTGATTATGTCAGCATCTGGAAGGATTGGAGTCAGCGGTACGGGGCAGTGACTTGACACAGGCCGAAGAGCTGCCGGAATTGGAGGTACTTGGCAGGTACCGACAGCGCATAGAACAATGTACCAGAGTCATGGTAGGTTTAGGTGGAGATCCATGCGAATATTTATAGATTTACAGACGAATCTTAAATTGTCATTGTACAGACTGTAGCTAACCTAACTTATATGTACGTTGGTAGTCTGGAGTACATGCAGGTGTGTATACGCCATTCCGAAACCCCTGAAAAGGTTCCCCTTCGCCGATCACGGACAAGTAGCCTAATTTCGGGCAAAGTATAAGCGACAGGTACTCCGTACATACTGTATGTGCTTAAGTATGTAGAACGATTAACGTCAAAGTACTATAGCCTAGATAACTTGGATAAATTAAGTACTAACGTTAAGTACTTAAGTACCTACGTAGCTATCGTCATGTCTGCCTACTCCGTACTCTTCGCAGTAAAGAGAAGTTCTGGAAGATCCGGATGTTCCCACTTTCTTCCCGGTCGCGTGTTAATTTCTTCCTTTAAACTTCTCTCAGGGCCAAATCTTGAAGTGAACCTGCCGAGGCCGTCAGGTGGACCTGTCCCGATCGTCATCCCCTCCGCAGACTCTTTCATCATCTTTTGGATCTCCACCTCCCTTCCTCTTTCCGCTACCTTTCAACGCTCTGGTCATCTTCTTTTTACTTTTCTACATATTTCCCGCCTCTGGCTCTCCTCTCGGGTACACTCTCAGCTGTGGCCCGGAGTGACGAGACGCCTCTCCCTGTTTCCGGATCATGGCGCTGGAAGTACAGCCGCCCGACGGTCGCAAACGAGTCAAGGTCTACGAGCTGAGGGATAATGACTGGTTCGACCGCGGAACCGGTTTCTGCACGGGTCAGATGATGGGGGTGAGTTGGCGCGTTGCGCGCACTGATGTTTCATCGCGCGACCTCCCGAGGCGCTGATGCGCCATGGCTATCAACACCGGCTGATCGCGATTCATCTAGGAGGAGCCTCGAATATTCGTCGAATCCGAAGATCAACCCAATCGCGTCCTGCTTCAAACGAAAATAGGCAAGGATGAGGGCTACCAAAAACAGCAAGGTTTCTATCCCGCCATCTCCGCCCGGAAGAATGTGTTCTGGCTGACGTTAGTATCACGCGACCAGAGACTTTGATCGTATGGACAGAGCCGAATGGCACGGATATGGCGCTGAGTTTCCAGGAGGCAGAGGGTTGTGCTGTTATCTGGTGAGAATGCCAGATGAAATCTTCGCGCGCGCGAGCTGACCACGCAAAGGGACTTTGTCAATGCCGTCCAACAACATCTTCTCAGTTTGCCTACTGGTAAGTGTATTGCGCGTTCGAGCTTGATAGTCCCTGACTTGCTTTAGATGATGCCTTGTCCGACGACCTCGAAAGCTATCAATCCATCGTGTTACCAGCCCCCGAATTGGGCCATCTCCCCGAGATCGAACAAATCGTAAGAGCCGCGAGTATGACACAGAATGGTCGAGATGCGCTGTCTAAATACATCATTCGCGACGAATACATTTCGAAGTTGGTCCCGTTAGTGGAAATGGCCGAAGATCTGGAAAGCTTGATCGACCTGCACCGTCTCTGCAACATTATGAAGTCTCTTATCCTTTTGAACGACAATACCATCATCGAAACCGTTGTCGCCGATCATGTCATTCTGGGGGTGGTGGGAGCTCTGGAATATGACCCCGAATTCCCCACGCACAAGGCAAACCACCGACAATATCTCGCCGACAAGTCACGGTATAAGGAAGTTGTTCCGATCAAAGACCCGATTATTCGCCGCAAGATTCGCAATACTTGGAGGCTACAGTACCTCAAGGACGTGGTGCTGGCTCGGATTCTGGACGACCCCACATTCTCAGTGCTCAACTCGTTGATCTTCTTCAATCAGATGGAAATCGTGAACCACATACAAGGGAATGGCCCATTCCTCCGAGAATTGTTCTCGGTCTTTGACCCGAGGAATATGGACGCGAGGCGCAAGGATGATGCTGTGCAATTCCTTCACCAGTGCGCGGGTATTGCGAAGAACCTACAGGTCCAGTCACGGGCCCAATTGTTCGCCAACTTCATCAGCCATGGCCTGTTCGCTGTGATTGCCTTTGCTGTAAAGCACGTGAACCCGGCCATGCGCACAACGGGCATTGATATTCTTGTCGCTCTGCTGGACCACGACCCTGTCATGATGAGAGGGTACATGTTGAAGGCCGTAAACGAGAAGAAGACCCCTCTCACTGACACATTGATCGATCTTCTCCATGTTGAAACAGACCTTGGTGTCAAAAACCAACTAGCAGATGCCATCAAGGTTCTCCTTGATCCCCAGATTCCCTTGCAGGACCCGCTTGGTCGGGCTGGTCCCGATTACTTCAAAGTCCGCACTAACAACCTTCTTTCCGATGCATTTGTTCAACAGCATTTCGATGAGTCTTCTAAGCGGCTGTTCCAACCTCTTAAACAGCTTGCCAATCGCGCAACCCGTAATTGCCCTAATGATTGTTCGCATGGAAGTTGCTAACGTCTCTCAGTTAATGATTTGACATTCCAAGAAGTGACCCTCTACTCGCATCTTGTTGATATCCTCACCTTTTTCGTTCGCCAGCACCTCTTCCGTACGCGCAACTCTATCCAAAGTGAATCCCTCGCGCCTCAGGTTGCGCAGCTCCTGCGGGTACCTCAGAAACACCTGAAGCTGAGTCAGTATCCCCTTATCTTCAAAGTTGGCCATTATACTGATTTTGATTAAGTTGCCCTCAAATTCTTCCGCACCCTGATCAGTCTTCAAGATACCTTCTACCAAGCTCTCATGACACACAACAACACTTTTGGATTGATCCTCGACATCGTCTATGAAACAATGCCACGCGACAACCTGCTCAACTCGGCCTGTCTTGAACTATTTGAATTTATCAAGAAAGAAAACATCAAGCCATTCATCACTCATGTGGTCGAGAAATATCGCGAAAAGCTCGAAAGCATCACCTATGTCGATACTTTCCAGAGCTTGATTCTTCGATATGACCAAATGCAAGGACAAGGATACGGTGCTGAGGCTGACTCGGCGCTGTTCAGTCAAGATGAAGGCAGCACTCCTCGACGGATGCCCCTGAACGGCCAACGTTGGCAGGGTGTAAGAGAAATGGACGCTGCTGAAGATGAATACTTCAACACATCCGATGACGAAGACGAGGTACGTAAATTTTGAAATACATAGGCAACACTGAAACTGATAAGAAACAGTGGTCTCAGGATCGTGGAACTATCGCTGTCGGGGCTCCAAACGGATCTGCCTCTCCAGCTGTCAAGTCGTTGGTCGACTACCCAGACGACGACGACGAAGACATCATGGACACCAAACCCGAAAATCCAGAGCAGACTGCCAAGACCCAGTCAGCGACTGGCCAAGACGCCCCCACAGAAGTCCCATCGGCATCACCGACAGCTCAAACTCCCCCACCAGAACGACTAGCAGAAAAGCGCCGACGTGAAGAAGAGGACGACGACGAGCTGATTAAGCTCTCCGCTGGACCCAAACGCAGAAGCTCCACAAGCAGCAATTCCGGCGCCGGGATATTGAATCGGAAAAAGACCATGTCTATCGGATCAATGGCAGACAAGGGTGCCGCGCCAATTCTAAGCAGTGTCACTGCTGCACCCAAGAGAATCGCCATCAATATCGGATCAGCAACCAAATCTCCCACATCAGAAGGCGATAACTGCACAAACATCATAAGCGAGAATCATGAAAAGGAGAACCGCGACGAGAGTCAAGGCAACGAAGGTGGATAATTATTACCCATAAGCCGGGCGTTTTTGTTTCCTGAATCAAGCAGCCTTTCATGTTTTGCTTCCAATGACCTAGATACCAGATACAGTTGCGGGTTTCCCCTATTGTTATCTCTTACTGCTGTTTTTCAGGCGATATCTTTCTTCTTTCTTCTTTGAAGGCTGCTCTTCTATTTTTTTTTTCTTCACCTGGCTGTATGTGGTTTTTCTTTCGTGGCCCGAATTAGCGGGATTGAATGGTTGATGTACATGGCGTCTCTGGGCAATGCATTGGAACTGGCCTTGTGGTGCCTATTCTTGTTCTTTTTTTTTCTCTGGTTGGGCTTAGATCACGACCAGGGGAGTCGGATTGTGTGGCAATATAACCTGCAATCTTCTTGCTCTCTCTTGCTTGGTGTTCTGTAGTATGTCCTATGGTAAGCTGAAAGGTAATGCCATGTGCCATTTTTAGGCAGCATAAAGAAACCCTAGTAAACATTATGGCTCTCCTCAGCTACATATAACCTCCGGACCTCTTTACCCCTTTCTAAATCTTTCTTATCAAGGGAGGCGTAACTAGATCTGACAGCAAAGTTCACATGGGAGACATGGATCCACTAACCGAGCTCAACCTCAACTCCCAACTCAAACAGACCCAATCCTAATACAATGATCTCCAACCTTGTCAATGCTCAATGACCAATGACCAAGCCACATGCCATACACTATAAAGTCCGAGGCTGATCTCTACTCTTTCCGGAACACCCACTAAGAAAGGCAGAAACCATCCATTCCCTACCAATACCATCAACCAACAACCAACAAGCGCATCTACACCTAGAAAGCCAAGAAGATGTCACCAGAAATAACATCAAACACATTTCTCACCTACACATGCACAAACACAAGCAAAGCGTCCAGTCAACAGCCAGCTCAACCCCCTGAAACAACCATCTTTTTCATCTCCGGGAATCCGGGTCTCATCGGCTATTACCACCCATTCCTATCTCTGCTATCAACATATCTAACACCAGAGAATATCACTGAAAATGAGAATGGGGATATTCAACCCTCATTTCAGATCTACGGCTGTTCTCTCGGCGGGTTCGAGCTACATGATGCAAAGACCCCAAACAAACCCCCAAAGAATCAATCCGACAATGTTGATCTAGATCTTGAAGATCAGATCCGTTTCTTACAGGGGAAACTCAGTACCATAATGAAAAAAGAAACCAGTTCTATTACAGTTGGCAAGAAACGCAAGGTCATCCTAATTGGACACTCAGTCGGTGCATACATCGCCATGGAAATCCTACGCCGGCATCGCGAGAATATTTCTGGCTCTGACTCCAAAGAAGAAAAAGGAAACGAGTTCGATATCATCGGCGGCGCAATGCTTTTCCCTACTGTGGTTGATATTGCGGCTTCAGCATCTGGTCGGAAATTGACGGTATATGATTCATTCTCTTCTTGGACAGTAGATCATAAGCTAACTCTTGATTTTCGTCTAGACTCTCTTATCAATAATTCCTCAGTTCGCCGCTGTCATCGGCTTCTTCGCGAGACTACTCACACTACTACTTCCGGCATCTATTCTACGGGCTTTGGTGCGGTTTGTCATGAATGATCCCCCGGCCCATGCATTAGATGCGACTTGCTCGTTCTTGGCAAGTTCTGGTGGTGTCAGGCAGGCTTTGTATGTTCTTTATTTTTATTTTATTTTTTCTTTCATTATTTGGGGTTAGTTTTATGCTGTATGCTGACTGTCTGTATAGACATATGGCCGCTGATGAAATGCGCACTATCACTTCTGATAAATGGAGTGATGATGTCTGGGGTGTTGCAACTGCACGTGAACCTCTGACCAAATTATTTTTCTATTTTGGGCGGAAGGATCATTGGGTTGCTGATCAGACGAGGGATGAGATTATTGCTGTGCGGGGAGGGGAAGGGCGTGGACCGATTATGTTGGTTTGTGAGGAGGATTTGCCGCATGCTTTTTGTCTCGGTGAGTTTTGCTTCTCTTTTGTCTGGATGTACTGACTTTTGTAGAACATAGTGATACCATGGCACGTAAGACAGCGGCGATGATTAGATTGATTGTGGGTTGAGAATTTACAAAGATGGATACATATTACATGGAAGTTACACATTTACTTGACAAATGAGAACTGAAGACCATGAATTCGCCGTTGGTGTATTTCGTAACGGGTATCTCAAGAATAGCTACGCCCATTCCCAGATGGTAGATGAATAAGTCATCCAAAGCAATAGGAACCAATAAGCAAAGCGCCCTATAAACAAATGATGAAGAGCAAAGAAATCAGACACTGGAGCCTTATTATCCCTGTCCATTCCCTTGATACGCCAATCCCGCCCTCCGAAATAGATCACCCAGCACATCTGCCTGGGGCTGTGGTGGTGGTCCCTGCGGCTGTGGCGGCGGATGAGGAGCAGACATATGCTGGGGCCTCATATTCTGATAAGCAGCCTGCTGAGCCAACTGCTCGGGACTAAGATGATGCGCACGCACACTCCACCCATCATCCTGAGCACGCTGCTGGCCAAACAACTCCTTCAACGAGACCTGTCGTCCCATGGGTACACTAGCCTGGATCTCTTCCAGCGGGGCAGGTTGTGTCGAAGCTGCAGCGGCAGCAACATGCATATTGGACTGGCGCATAGCCTCAAGACGCCCACGGGCGAGCTTCATGCTTTGCCCAGCGTGGGTAGCGCACTCGTGGATCATCTGGGCATTAATTGTGCGAGACTCGGCTGTCGAGTTCGGTGGTGGCTCAGAGTAGATCCAGAGACCGTAGATGCGAACATTGTTGCCGCTCTGGTTGTTGCTGGCGATGTTCTGTGGGTGCAAGGGGTCTGCGATGCCATTCGGGCCTGTTTCGCCTTCGGCGCTTTCGTCTGCCTTGAGGATCACGTATTCTTCGGTGATTTCGACATTTTCACCGTCTGTCAGAGGGAGATCGAAGTTGTTCAGCCCACGCCTGTTCAGAACGAATGCGGTATAGCGTTCTTCGCCTAGGTTGCCCTGGGATTGCTGGCAAACGAATAGGGTTCCCTCAATGCCATTCTTTTCCCATTGTTTTCTTGTTGGGCTGAAGATGTAGACGACTGCGTAGGGAGCGAGAGAGAGGATTGAGGTCACGGAGGGCTTATGGCGGCGAATCACTGAGAGATTCAGCTCCTCGTTGGAACGCAACGGCGGTGCAGCTTGCGGCATGTCTGAATAGTATGCAGTGTCTGATTCATAGTCGGTTGCAGTGTGGTTGTTCTGACGTCGGGGTTTGCGAGAAGCCATTTCTGCATGCAGAAAGTGAGAGTGTGTTGTGTGGAAGGCGCTGAGGTGAGCGGCATATCGTCATCGTCTGAGCTCCGCCTTCCCGGTCTGAGCTCCCCGCCATCTCTTCAATTGCAACTTGCAACTCAACTCGCAACTCGCAACTCGCAACTAGCAACTCGGAGATTCGCTTTGCTTCTTGGCAATCTGTCTTGTCTGTAAGGCTTTTGACTGTCACGTTTTCATGCCTTCATGTGATGACGCCACGAGTCCCGGGAACCTCAACCTCTACGATGCGATGATCAATTTACTGTCGCAACCTACAACCAACCTTCTCATCTCTCTCTCGTCACCTGAAAAGAGTCAAAGTTGACTTATTCTACACTTGCGACGAACTTTCTAGGTTGCGTTCCCCCGCAGGATCTAAGAAACGCAAGACAATACACCAGCCTTTACATACACCAGGCCACCATATATACGCCAATAGACATCTGAGCACTTACAGGGCATGAAAATAGCGCTCGCCCTTCTTTGATCCAATTGTATTTCACTTACACCATGAACGCGAACTCACAACAGACATCGCCGGCAGGGTCAGAGCACGGGGGCCACGAGTCGAAATCCGCGGAAGCAATCGAACACCCAGGACTCGATGTCCTATCACTGTCGCGCGCCGTGAGAAAAAGAAGAGCGGAATATACGCGCAAACGGGACATCCGAGTAAAGATTGGCACCTGGAACGTTGCCTCAATCTCCGGCACCGAGAAGGACATTGGAAAGTGGTTCGTTCAAGGCGAAGGGGTCAGCGAGAAGCTTTCTGGGTCGAGGTTTGCTTCGGGAGAACGCCCGGACTCAATTGATGGCAGGCATGAACTGGCCACAGAGAGCACTAAGACTGCCCCAGTTCATTGCAGTCCCGAAGAGATCGATCTTTACGTTTTAGGCCTACAGGAAGTTGTCGATGTCTCCTCACCGGCAGAAGCACTGCGACCCTATGTGGACCCGGCACCTTCTAAGCGATGGAAGGAAGCGGTACACAACGCACTGCCCCGGGGGTATAAGCTTGTCTCCGAGATCCAGCTGATTGGACTTTTACTTCTAATCTATGCATCGCCTGCAATTGATGAGAGCGTCTCGTCTGTCAGCAGTACCTCTGTTGGTACAGGGCTGATGGGCTATATGGGCAACAAGGGTGCCGTGGCAACCCGTCTGGTTCTGGGCGAGGCTGCTCGTTTAGTCTTTATAAACTCCCATCTGGCAGCAGGATCCGACAAAAACAGTCTAGAGCGCCGCAACTGGGATTCTTCTCAGATCGTACAGCGTACTCGGTTTGAGCCAATTGAGTCTGAGATTGGTGCATCCGATGAGTCGGGCGATTCCATCGGCAATGAAGACTTTATATTCTGGTTTGGTGACCTCAACTATCGCCTCGATGATATTCCTGGTGAAGACGTGCGTCAAGTACTTGCCCGTCACACTGCCAATGCATACGATGAAGCACGACAGGAGAAACAGGCCGCAGCCAATGATCTAGAGTCAGCCTCAGCCTCAGCCTCAACCAGCGATTCTGAAGATAAGCCGCCTTCGACTCCGCTTGAAGAAGAAAACACAAGTCCCGTCACCGATGAAGAGATCGATCCTCACAACGATCCGGCTTCTCTCCAAACTACAATTTCCTCTCTGCTTCCGCACGATCAACTGCGAGTCCAACAGAAGAAGGGCAAAGCTTTCCACGAGGGATGGCGGGAAGGTCATATCTCATTCCTGCCGACTTACAAGTATGACGTTGGAAGTGTGGCCACATTTGACTCTAGCGAAAAGCATCGGGGACCCAGCTGGTGTGATCGTATTCTATACCGCACCCGTCGGGACAAGCTGAAACATGAACAGCTAGATCAAGAAGCTGAGGAGGCTCGTAAGAGGGATGAAGAAATGAAGGCGCGCGGATTGGATAAGGCCGTCGCTGACGACAATGTCTTGTTTGAATATGATCCTGACACCGACGGTGCGCAGAGCGGTGACGAGTACGTCTCGGACGAGGACCAAGGTGATGAGGATGCTGCCTCGGTTGCGTCGCATGAATCGCAGGATCCAATTCGTTTAGATCACTATTTGTCCCACCAAGGTATCCTCTCGTCGGATCATAAGCCGATAGATGCCATCTTCACCTTGACATTTGATGCGGTGAATCCCCAACTCAAGACCAAGGTTCACCAAGAGGTAGCCCGCGAGCTGGACAAGGCCGAGAACGAGGCTCGACCAGGTTTGACCGTTGTGGTGGACAGATATGGCAACGAGAAACAAGGGGACAAAGATCCAAATGCTGTCGATCTCGGGGACGTCGCCTTTCATGCCCCAGTTCACCGGTCTCTGACCATTGCCAACACCAGCGGCACCTCGGCTACATTTTCGTTTGCAGAGCGGCATACCGACACTGAAAAGCCTGAGTGGCTCGACATTCATGTGTCAAGATCATCCGAAAGCACCAGTGATGATGGTAAAGCTATTGGTTCTTCGGCTGGGAACCATACCCTGCACCCGGGTGAAGTGGCAATTGTCGATATTACAGCCCATGTCCACGACATCGAGCTCGTCAGGTTGCTCAATATAAGAAAGGTCAAGCTAGAGGAGATTCTAGTTCTTCACGTGGACAGTGGCCGTGATCATTTCATTTCGGTGTTCGGAAACTGGCTGCCCACTAGCTTTGGTTGCACTGTTGACGAATTAACCCGTATGCCGGAAGAGGGTGCTCGTACTTTGACTAAATCGGACAAACCTCACCCGTCCAGCACAGATAAATCTCCCGAAGTCCGCTTGTCAGCACCTCGCGAGCTGTTCCGATTGACAGAAGCAATTTCGGAGCTGACGGAACGTGCCGTGGCAGAATGGAGCATGACCAACGGTGAATCTGAGGAACACCAAGCACCATGGACGAGAGAGCCTTCCGGGGCATCATGGCCTTTCCAGCCAGATACCTGGACTCTCAAGGACCCACAGGAACGTGCTGCCCAGCAAGCTTTAGTCCACGAAGCCCTGGACACCAACGGGTCTCTCGCATCTGTATTTGCCCCCGAGATCCCATCTCTCCACCGCTTGGAGATTCTCTCTGAGACCCTTCTCACCTTCCTCAATTCACTCAAAGATGGTATCGTGACTGCATCAGTATGGCAAGATATGGAACAACAAATGATGGCACGCGAGAAATCAAAGGCACCACCTCTGACCTGGGAAGAAACCCAGGCTTGGGTCCTCGAGAACCTCGCGTATTCTCCAGCACACAGTGTCTCATTCACATTTGTCACCTTCATGCTTGCTCGTATCGCCAATGAGGTAGCCCCAGTGCCATCGTTCGCGCCAAGGCCAGTCTCTTCTTCTTCCAAACATGGAAAGACGGAGGATTCGTCTAAAGATTTGACAGAGAAACAATCCGAATCTGCAGAGCTACAATCTCCTACACCAGCTTCTGCTTCTGGATTCATCACTGGCGGCACTTTCCGCCGCAAGAATCGCTCTACCAGCACACCTACGGCGGCCAGCCCTGATCCGATGACTACCAACCCTTCTGCGGTGCGTAGACAGATGGTGGAGACTGCCCTATCGTCCATTTTTGCGCGCGTGCTTATTTCTGCTGCCGCCCCGCTGCCGTCGAAAGAGAAAGAACGTCGTGCATCGGAAGAGCGCAGACGAGCAATCATCGAACCGTTCTTGAAGATGATTGGAGTGGACGATCGAGGTCCATCGGGTGGTCGTTGATCTTTAGTCACCCTTGGATGATCCAATCCCTCGCTGATTCCAACTCATCTCTGAGCAGGTCTTGATTCACCTTTCCAATAGACTTTTCTTTCGTCCCAGTGTTTGATTGCATCCTGTCTCTGTGTACAACGTTGTGTAAATGCCATATCCTTCATGTATCCCTCTATAGAGGACTGATAGATCGAGTTGATAGTTGCTTCAATGGAATATTCAATTTTCCATGTTAACACACTTCACATCTCATGTCCAAACATCTGTTCAAGTAATGTCCAAGATATACAAACGCCATCCATCCCAAACCTATCCCAAACCCAGACACCAGAAACATCAATCAACCCTGAACTCAAATCCCTTCCCCAGACCCATTGACCTTCCCAGATCTCCTCTGCGCGGCAGTAACAGCCTGCCGCTGCAATCCACCCTTTCCCTTGGCCCTTTCCCTCTCCCCTTCCCTTTTAGACCCAGCCTTTTTAGGCAAAACCACTCTCCGAACACAATCTAAACAACCAGAAACAACCCGCCCAGGGAAAGCACCAAGCGACAAGAAAACCTGCGCAGGAATAACAAAACAAGCACAAATAGCTTCAAGCAGGATAGCAGCATACCCAGCCCGCTGCGACGTAGCCCTCTGCGCAGCAGCAGCCAACGAAACCGCATCATGGGCCTTTGTCTCGAGCGCAAGTAACCGCTGATCAGTCTGCAGCGTCGAAAGAGCCGTGCGCTTTTCATATCTGCGCACTGCGCGGTTGAGAGCGTCGATATCTGGTTGGACGATGCGGCGGGTTTCGGTTATGCATTGGGTTAGGAGGGAAGGGGAGTCGGATGGTTGTTGTTTTGGGGAGAGGTTTCCAGTTCCAGTTCCGGCATTTTGAGATTGAGGCTGCAGGCGCGCGGCTGCCCTCTCGGCTATGTGAGCTTCGAGCTCTTCGAGGCGTTTTGTTAAATCTTGGATTGTGCTTGGGTCTACTGGGACGCTATGCGGATCGGATTCTGCGTCGGAGACTATTCTTTGTAGGTGGATTGTGCGTGATTGCACTAGTCTTAGGAGGTGGGCGACTGGGCGGACTTCGGAGGCCAGTAGGAAGATGGTTAGGTTGTAGTTTGATACTAGGCCTTCCGAGGGGCGTGAGAGGCTTGAGCGGATGCCGTGCAGGAGCCAGGTTCCTATCATTGGGAAGATGAAGCAGGAGGCTAGGGCGGCTAGTTCATGGATTTGGAGTTCTCTGCTTGCGGCTGCTGCTGATTTTTGGTGTTGGCGTTGGTGTTGGTGTTGGTGGTGCGGCTGATCTGGGGAATCCGGGGTTTCGATCTCTTCATCGTGGAATGTAGTTGGATCGGCAAGACCACTTTCTTTGCGGATTGCTTGGGTTGAGCGATACCAATCCCTTTTCGTTGTTAGCTTCTGTACTTTGTGTATGTACTTGATGTTATGCGGGGCGAGGGGGGGGGGGATCTACCAAGGCAACCTCACAGACCAGTTGAGGAAGATCGCAGCCAGCACCAGCAATGTCACGTCGGTCACGAAGGAACTGCCATTTTGGAAGAAGATACCCGCGATCGCTGGCAGTAGGGCGAGTCCCAGTGGTGCTGAATGCCAATGCGATTCCTCTAGGGGCTGTTCTTCGGTTACACGCGGGAGAAAGAGGCCGTCTGTTGATGAACGGATGGAGTTACGGGCTTCGGAGAGCGAGTCTGATAGTGTCGAGTTTCGTCGCTGCCATTCGGCTTGGGCGCGATTTAAGGAAGGTGAGGGGTCGGCCATGGCATTTGGATTGATTGAAAGGGAATGAAAGGCAAATGGACCATTTTGGCATAGAATTGCTTTTTCCTCAGCCGAGGGTGTGATGCAGGACCAAACCGGTTCGCAGATCGGCGATCGGTTCTTTGTGTTAGGCTAAATAGTAATGTGCTCGGACATACTACAGTGCACTTTAGTAAATAGCACAGACTATGTGGTCTTCTTAACTTACCTTTCAACAATCAAGTGCTGCTCTGTAAATGTACGTAGAAGTCAACTGATGATATTCGGTCCCCACACTACGTCATGCCGAGGATTCACAGTAATCAAGTATAAGTTGACTATTCAAGGAGAAGTGAGTATCTACTTGCTCTCTATTTGGTCTCCCTTTTTGGAGTACCTTGGTATGTATAAATGAGACTGTATACTCTACGGCTTATACGTTAGAGACTGTTTTTAACGTAGTGACGCACTCCTGTAGGGCCAACTTGTCGAGGTCGCGTGTCCGAACCAACTACCAACCACCAACCTTCCAGCTGACGGGCTCGACTTCAAAGATCAAGCGACCAAATGACCTGTCGGTTTTGATTCGCTCTCTCACGATGCAGCAAATGCCACGGATGGCGTCGGGCGAAATGCGAATAGAACCGGAGCTCTATTGAGCCCCAAATGCGGACTGGTGTCCATTGGCATCAACGTATCACTTTTCTTTATTCAACTGTGATGCTTTCTTGGTTGACCTGCATAGCCTTTCAATGGTTATGTTCTTCTTTATGTCGCAAATGCGTCTCGAAAATATGTCTTTTGCCTTGCAACCCATACATTCCTCAGGGCACCCTCATGTCTTGACCTCCATCTGCACTGAATCAACTCTCCTGATTCTGATTCTCGCTATTCGGCTCTCAATCAAACGCAGAGTCTCAATTGCTTCCCAGCTAGATATATTAATGCTTCGAGGATGGGTTGGACTCGTCCATCTTTCTCTTTCCTTTCCATTTTCTTTTCTTAGCCAATCTCAAGAAACTCGTGGTTATCTATGAGGCTTGAAGTGTTACAAGGCCCTTTTCCTCTTATATCAACAGACATGGACCCTACCAAGCGGCATCCATTAGCCGTGGGCATTCCCATCATGTCATTCTTCTCCATCCTCCTCGGAATCCCACCGTTGCTTCTACATGCAAAGAACCGCAATTTCCCTGCAACAAGCTTGGTATCCTGGTCAGTTCTGCTTAACCTGCTCAATATCATCAATGCCCTGACTTGGCCAAACGATGATGTTGAGTCCTGGTGGGATGGTGCCGGTCTCTGTGATATCGAGATCAAAGTCATGGTTGCCGGCTATGTCGGCGTCCCAGGAGCCCTGATGTGCATCTTCCGTTCTCTCGCAAACGCGCTGGACACAGATCGAGCGACATTGGTCCCAAGCAGGGGTCAGCGCTGGCGCAATCAATTCATGAACCTGTTGTTCTGCGTGGTAGTTCCCGTCATTGCAATGATCACCCACATTGTCTGGCAGAAGAGTCGATACCTGCTCTACTCCATCTCAGGATGTGTCAACAACTTTGACGAGAGCTGGGTCAGTCTCATATTGGCATTCATCTGGCCACCGATTATCTGCCTGGCTGCGGCTTATTACTGCTGTAAGCAACCCACTCATCCGATCTTTTCCCAATTGATCCCAGCTCACCACTCCCAAACCCCAGGCCTAGTCCTCTTCCGCATCCACAAGTACCGCAGCGACTTCGCAAACATCATTCGCGCCTCCAGCAGCAACCTCAGCAAATCGCGCTTCCTGCGCCTCTTCTTCCTAGCCCTCTCGATGTTACTCGCCATCCTCCCACTGCAAGCCTACGTAGTCTACACAGATATCCACCTCTCATTCCCCTGGCACGCCTACTCCTGGAGCAAACTCCATAACAAAAACTGGTCCATAATCCACAGAGTTGCCACCCACGGTGTGGTCTTCTTCGACCGCTGGACGCCTGTCGCATCAGGCTACATGATCTTCATCTTCTTCGGCTTCGGCCGCGACGCAACCCGCATGTATCGTGCTGCCTGTTGGTATATAGGGCTGGGATCCTGTTTCTCAAGCATTACAGCGCCAGCTGATTCAAACGTCACTCCTCGGCAACTGCTTCCCCACAGCCATGTCTTTACATCAACAACCCTCCTCGAGACGTTCAGCTCCAAGGCAAAGTCTTTCTTCTCCAGACCGAAGAGCATGAGCATGCATCGGCATCAGAGCCCACACCATCACGAACAGCACATGGGAACATTCACTTCGACACAAGCTACATACACTGATCTCGAAAAGGGAATCGCCAAACCATCCCATCTGATATCTTCCCAGAATACACGCAGTACCCACGAACCAGCCAAGAAGACAATCTGGGATAAATTCCCCTTCTCGCTATTTCGTCGCCAATCTGCCCGCCATGAATCCGATGCAACATTGCTAGATAATCTCTCTGTTCCTTCGCATACACGGACCGTTTCGACGAATGCCTGGGCTGGAAGTGTCCGTGAGAGTCGGGATTACTCGGCAGGACCTTCTACTGCTTTTGCTTGTTCCTCACCTCCTCAGGGGACGTTCATTCATGTGAAGCAGGTTATTAGCCAGCAGAGTGAGATCCAGGTCTGACGTTGTGCTTTACATTCAATCGTGTGGAATTGGTCAAAGGGGAATTGGGTTTATGAGCCTGCCTGTCTGCTTGTCTTTATATCTGATAATTGTACGTCGGGTTCGGGTGTTTCCTGGTGTTAAATTATACTTGGCATGACATAGTTTATGAGGATTGGATGGCTTTCACTTGAGGTTTGTGTTTCATTGATGTGGCATCTGGTGGCTTGTAGAAGGCTGTATAGCCCTAACAATCCAGAGCCGATATGTAGGTTGAAACTAACATCCCATGGCAAAATACACAGAGCCAATGACCGCAGAAAGAAGTGCATTCAGGATATACAAGTACAAGATAGTCACAAAGCCAAAGAAGAGACATCAACCAGCCAGCTCGAAACGGCGTAAAACACCATGACCATAAACAATCCGTCGCTAGCACGAACATGCTACACCGGAATACGCCGTGACACATAGACGCATATTGCCTCCACAACTTCTACTAGACCAGCAGAAACCTTATTTTAAGACCTTAAGATATACCGTATCTACTGCTGGGATTCCTGATCGGCGTTAAAGGGGCGCTTAAGGACCTCGAGATTGCCTGTATTGCACCAGAGTTAGACTTGCACTTGGATGATAAGAAGCAAGCAGGGAATGAAAACGTACGCTGCACGACGTTCAAGTTGGTGCGGGTCTTGCCGTCGTTGTCCTCGTAGCTGCGGAGGCTGGCGTCGCCCTCGACGAGGACGAGTGTTCTGTACAGCAAGGCGGGTCAGCTGGTCTGGTCTAGTCTGGTCCGTGTGAGAAATGTCGGTGGCTGGGCTGGATGCGATTTGATATGTCCATATCATTCTCCGACTCAATCCCAACCTCGTCTACACCGTAGAACTCAAAGCTGGGGAAGAAGGTTTGCTAGGGGTTGTTCGCTCGTATGCAGACAGGTTGACATGTCGAGGCTCATGTGCCGAACAGGTTCGTCCATGCATCTCTCATGTACATGCTCCATGCACGGCCGCCCAAGCTCAAGCTTGAGCATGAGCTATATATCCATGCACAGGAACCAAGCCGTGCATGCATACCAACCCAACGCACGCATCGCAACCCGCCACCGAACAAAATTGAAAAATCAATGTCCTGCAATTGCACTCCCAACACGCAATTCAGACAAAACAATTCCACTTACCCCTTAGTCAAAGAAAGGATGTAATCACGCTGAGCACCCTCGGGAACAAAGCTAGTAACGCGGAACCAGCTGGTGGTGCGGTTATCGGGGCGGCCGTGGGAAGAGCCGACAACGTACTTGACGACTTCTTGGCCGGAGGAAGTAGCCTGCAGCTCGGGGTCGGCGCCGAGGCGGCCGGTGACGGTCAGACGGGCGAGGGCGTGGGCGGGCGAGGAGCTGAAGGTACGGGCGGTCTGGGTGGCCACCTTGGCCATGCGCAGGCCGGGGCGGAGGGAGTTGAGGAATGACGACATTGTGTGTGGATGGTATGTTGGCTGTTGGCTGTTGGTGGACTTTGTGATGAGGTTGGGACGCGATGTTCGCGACGGGTCATGTGACTGATAGCGAGGCCCCCTTTACGAGTTTGGACTATTTGGGTTATATTGAAATACTGGAGGGGATTTGATTTGTATGGTTTGTTTGAGTTCTGTTTGCATTGGCGTTTGGAATTGGAATTGAGTTGGTTTTACGAGGTTGTATGGGTGAGCTCTCCCCCATACTGTATAGCGCCATAGCACCCCAGCTTACCCAGCTTACCCAGGGGCTTGGGAAGTGACAGCAACGTTGTGAGCCCAACGACAGGGAAAGACAAAAACAAACGTGAAGTCTAATTGCGACCTGATTGGAATCCCGAAAGGCGCCAATGCAGCTGCCAGACTGCCAGCACAGTCTCGACCTCGACGCGAGAGCAGACAGACCAATGACTTCAACTCATCACCCCATCACAGCCGAACGTCCCGCGTCGACAACTGTCCATGTATAAATGTTGCATACAACAGCTAGAAGAAGTAACCGATAGGCAGATCAACAGACGCTATCCCAAAGCAGAGACATATGCTGCGAGAACGCGCGCTGATTGAACGAGAGAGATTAAGATAGCTGTTGTCTCAGATGCATTACCGGCTCCTTGCTTCTCTGAAGTCAATTAGCGGCCCGACCACGTCGAACTGCAGGGCGTCAACAATGGCCTAGCAGGGGTAAGGCCTAGCTACAAGGCTTGCAGGACAAAGGCTGTAGCGAGTATTGGCGTGGGCAAATTGGATAGATCGGTTGGCGAACCCCTAGTTACGGCGCCTCCCGAGCTCGAGGACCTGTTCCTGTGTCTGTCCACCGGACTTGGAGTTGTAAAATTACGGTGAGTCCATTCTGACTCTGAAGAAGTTATGACAGATCAATTCCATTCCGTGAATTCCGTGGAATGGAAGTATTAGATACGCCATACACTACTACACATCCATGTCCGTACTCCATATACACAACGCTGACAGTATCTCACCCCTGAACAGGAATATTCGCCGAGCAAAGACCACCGAATCCACTCTTCATCCACTCGTAGGAAAATCTTCGCTTCAGCTTGCAATCTCATTCGACTGCGAGGGACGCCAATCCTTGCTAGATCGGCCACATTCGCGATCGGTGGGGCTAATATAGAGAGAAAACTAGTCAACTCGCGTGGAATATCCATTTAATACTTTTTTTATTGTAAAATAAAACTCAAATATGCAAACAAAATAGACCGGGCCCCGCGTGGAATGGCTAGGGCTGCTTTTATTGCTTTCCCTGCCTCCAACTCTGCTTATGCTTGCCAATTATTCCTAATTAATACCTCGCTGCTCCTGTCGCGTGGATATGTGCCTGTCCCTATAACACCTGTGCGACTCATCTCTGGCGTTCCGAGCATTTCGCGTTTCGCATACCACAGTAACCATGCGGTGGTCTGTGTTCTTCACATTAATTCTGTCCCTGCTATTTGTGGCAGGGACACTGGCTGCACCAGCTCAGGGTCTGGGACGCGAGATAGAGGCAAGGCAGGAAAAGGAAACGGATTCCGATAAAGCCGCGGAGAGTACAACTAGCGAGACGTCGGCAACACAAACAGATGCGTCGACAACTGCATTGGGATCGACGGCAACTTCAACATCAACTTCGGCACCGACTACCAACACGGGTACTGCTAACACGACGAACGCCGTTTCAACAACTGCTTCCGCCGCTGAAGCTACTTCAACCGTCCCTTCTCTCGATGGAGCCACTGCTGCTTCCCAGCAAGAAGCGGCCGATTCAGCAAGGCCAACATACTCGGGCGGACTTCCTATCAAGCCGGTGATCACTCCAGCATTGGGAGTTGGAGGATTCATACTTCTGGCGCTGGGAGCAGTTCTTGCTTTCATTGGTGTCCGCAAGCAATGGGTCCAGATCTTCCTCTCAACGGCGTTCCTCACTGCGCTGGGTGTTACCGTCCTGATTGTATATGTGATGAGTCCACCGGTGAGTAATGCTGTACAGGGTGGCTATGTCGTAGCTGTCTTCTTCACCGGTGCCGTCTTTGGTGGCCTCTCCATGGTATTCAAAGAGATTTGCGAAGGTTTAGGGTGTCTCCTGGGCGGTTTCTGTCTCAGCATGTGGCTTCTTGCCCTGAAGTCCGGTGGTCTTTTAACTGAAAGCGGTCCCAGAACCGGAATGATCATCGCGTTCTCGGTAGGCTTCTATTGTCTGTCGTTCAGTCATTATACTCGTCCATATGGTCTCATTGGATGCTCGTCATTCTCTGGTGCCACGGCATTGGTGTTGGGCATTGATTGCTTTAGCAGAGCTGGACTGAAAGAATTCTGGCTGTATATCTGGGGTAAGTCCATACAAATTTGTTGGCAAGGAGTGTGACCGGTTGCTGACTTGTCCAGGTTTAAACCAAAATATCTTCCCGCTCAAGACTGATACTTACCCGGTCACCCGCAACATCCGTGTTGAGCTCGCTGTGACGATTATTGTCAGTGTTCTGGGTGTAATTTCCCAGCTCAGGTTGTGGAAGGTCATTAAGGAGCGCAGAGCCAAGGAAGAAGATGCCCGTAAAGAGCATGAGCGGAAGATCGAAGAAGAGGATGCCGAAGCCGGTCGACAATTGGAAGAGAAGAACATCCAGGAACGTGCCGAATGGGAAATGACTTACGGTAATGGCCAGGACAGCAAGAGCAAGACAGCCTCGGTGTCCGAAACGGCCATCGGCGAAGACTCGCGACGCGGCTCGGACGGGTTCACGTCTTCCAACAATGACAAGGATGGTGATATTGAAATGAAGGAAATGCAGAGTCCCGAGATTGCTGCCGAAAGCGAAAAGAACGGCGAAGCTCGGGAACTCGAGCCTGTGCAAGAGGAGGATGCTCAGGAATCGACTGAGCAAGAAAAGCAGCAAGGACCCGAGCAGGAAAATGGGGATTCCAAGGCCAGGCCTGAGACGCCTGTCGTTACTCATGTCCTCGGCGAAGACAATGACAATTCTTCTGAGAATGGAGCAGTCATCGGCTCGGAGGCTGGGACACCACGCTCGAAACGCATGTCTGGCAGAGAGCTGCTGAACAGGCTGTCCTGGCGAAATAGTACTGACATGAAGGTCACTTCCCAGTCTCGGGAGGCTTTGGTTGCTCACAACGATGCCTCTTCCTCTGTGTACGGCGTGGTGGATGATGTCGATGATCTCCAGGAAGTGAGCGTGGGTTGCCCAAGTATCGCATCGGATATCCACGAGCGTGTCCAGGAGGGTCCTATGCAAGAAGCCATTGTGCCGGAGGATCTGCCAGAGAAGCGTACTATTGAGATGGAGACCCAGTCGAATGCTGGTTCGCAGGCTGTCCGCGAGAACACCGTTCCAGGAGCGGGACTGGCCGTGGATTCAGGTGCAGCAGAGCATCAAGATGCACAGAAAGACATTGCCGACGAACCTATTGCCAGCAAGGTTGCTCCTCAGGCTTCCAAGGAAGCTGGGCTTGGCGTTGTCACAGATGCAGCAATCCAGAATGTTGCTAGTAAAGTGTTCAACTACGAAACTTTTGCCAGCAGGTCTACACAGCCAACAAGCACCACTGAAACTGTTGCTCCCACTCCCATCGAGAGCACCATCGCAAGCCCTCTAGACAGGACTGGAATATCAGTCATGTCTGAACAGCTCCAATCGCCAGATACTCCTGCAACGGATATTCAACCCGAGATCACCGATGCACCAATGAGCCAAAAGGCAGAAACCGTGGTGTTGGTGCAGGTATCTCAGAAGGATGGCCTAGTTGAGCCCTTGAAAGAGACAGAGGCTCAACCAACAGTCGACACCATCGACGAGGAAGTCATTCCTCTTCCCGGTCCCAAGCCAGTCGAGAAGATCAAGAGGGAACAAGTCATCAAGAAACTGAATGCCTCAACTGTCAAAGCCCTTCCTGAGCAAACATCCAGGATCATTCATTCTTATCGCACAAATGAATGGGCCAAACATCTGGCAGACGCCGACACTCCTGAGATGGAGCCCATTGAGTTCGACACTGAGCCTGAAGTGAAAGACTCTGAGGAAGTGCAGGAGACTGCAGCTTTCGTCGATGTTGACGGTCTTCTCCAGACGCCTCTGAATGCTCAACCACCTCCAGCTGTGAACAGGACTGAACCATATGAGGTGGAAGCTATCCAACCTGCTGCCATTTCATCCGTTCCTTCGGCCGAAGCGCCTCGATCCAAGTTTAGGAGCAGTCTCAGCAGAGCTATGCAAAGCCCACTCTCTCGCAACGCCTCAACTGGCTCTGTGAACATGCTACGAGCATCCACTGGTCAACTACCACACTCCCAAGAAGGACAAGCAGGATTACGCAGCGCCTCAACCCCATACTTGACAATCACTGCCCCCGAGAACAAGGAAACAGAACAAACACCAAAATGGAACGGACCACCACCCCTCCTCGCCGTACGCGAGGACATGGTCCGAAACCGCATGTCATCTACATCCCTCCGCTACGATCCCTGGGCATCCCGCAACCAATCCCGTCAGTCCTTCAACGATATCCCCCCTATCTCCCCACCCCTCTCTGTCCCCGAAGAAAGGGACGAAGACTACGAACAAGGCCCACTCCGCGACGAAGACGACATCCCCCTCTCAAAACGACGCACCATGCTCCAACGTCAAACAATGCAATCCCCCTACGCAGCCAGTGTCCACAGCCTCGAAGCTCCATCCCCTGTGCAATCACCACCTCCAGGCGCCGAGCTAAACAGATCTGCATCGCGGATGGCAGCATGGCGCCAATCTGTCCGCGAGGAAATCACCCACAAGCGTGATCCTCTCGCTCTCCCTCCCCAGTCCCCGCCTATGGGCGGGGCAGTGAGCCCCGATCGACCGCATAGTAGTCTCTGGGGCTCTGTGCAGCAGATGCGGGACGCTTCATCGCGCCAGCTTGACAGTGCCGTTGCCAATGGCATGCAGCGTGGCAGCATGACCGATTTGCATCGTCAGGCTATGCGTCGCATGCAGGCTTCTGCTAATAAAAAACTGTAGGCTTGGTGATGGTTTTCTGCTCCTTTACTTGATTTGATACCCTTGTTTTGCTTGCTTTCGGCGTTGGTGCGGTTGTTATGTTGTCTTATATGACTTATGATTTATTCACATACATGTATAGCCCCAGGTTATGAGTCTTTTGACGTTCCACCTCGGCACTTAGATATATAATTCTCTAATTATCCTCATAGGTTGAACGCTTCTGCCTACTCTAGTTGCTTTTGGATACACCCTACGTACACGAACATCCGGATTCAGAAACAACAAAAGAAACAGGGGAATCACAAACACTGATCGAAGACTGAAACCCTCTTCTGTCCCCATGATCCTGCGCATTCATTGTATATCAGCTACTCACCGGTTACAACACTTTCCCCAGATTAAAAGCCGATCTGTGGCTCTGTCTTCAAGACATAGCCCATAGCCCCAAACCCAAAGACAGCCTGCGTGATCTCAGTCCAACCCAAACTGATTAGTTATTTTGTTAGCACTTCCATGACCCAGAGCGCTTCACGCCCAGGCGCTAAGCAAATGCTTGGGTATCTCAGTGTTGTTAACTGCGAATTCGTCCCCGAAAACCCGGAGAGTACTACCGTGGAGTGGTTCGGCTTCATTCAGATCCTGTGTTTAAATTTGCTGCTAACTGTGAAGACGCTGGAGTGCACGAATGGGGGGAACTTTGGGATGGGCATTCTTACCACCGTAATTCATAGATGGGCGTTCGTGGGAGATCGCGGCGAAGGAAAGGTTTCTTGCTTCTCCAGACACGGGAGTTGAAAGATATGCGAGTGTGACTGAGCTTGAATACATTAAGATTAATCAAAGGATGTGAATTCAGCATTGGGAAGTGTCGGCTTCTGATCAAGCGTTCGATGTTATTCGCGCGAGTACGCGTGTACGTAGATACTGGTGAGTATATTCACTCAGGTAACTACAGCAGTCCGTTATTCGGGGTTTATATACGGAAGTTCGTGCAATCTCTGGTATGCCCACCTAGACTCTCTGAGTCAGTCATTCAGATACAAGAGAGAAATATGATTTTTACTTTGGATGAGTCGCTTCAGATGTAATTCGATCTATGTGCTTTTAAGGTTATATAGCTGCTGTTGGTTTCCGCTAGGTCAAGTTATTGACTGAGCTAGTCCTTGTGCCACAGTCAATGCATATTCAAGTCAATGGCTGGGTGTATAACATCATAGTCTTCAGCCTCACCTTTATATAGCCAAGGTGCCAGTACCATTAGCAGGTAGCAAACGAGTACCTTCAGCTGGTGACTCAGGTCTTGACCGACTCCCGAGACTCAGGCTGAAATCCAATGAGGCCTCTACACCATTGCCTGCAGCTGTTAGCGTTTGTCTGCATATCCAATTGAGATCGAGGATGAAACAAGGGATTATGGTGGATTAATCACAGTGAAACCGGAGAGTGTTCATCCCTTAAGAGGGCTCGTCTATACTTGAAGGGTTTCGCCTCACTTTTTTTGACTCAAAATCGAAGCTCTAGAACAGTGCCCATTCTTTCTCTGCTAGCATTTCTTAATCTTTTAATCATTGCTTTCTTACATTCGTTGACACGCCGTATGTTGGAGACTTTTCCCGCCGATCTCCGCCTTTCTCCTTTCTCACCTCAAAACGGCGTCATTCACATCCCACCAGAGATCCGAAACGAGGGCGGTTGATCAATCCTTAACCATCCGTTCCTCCAATCGCGCCCCCGTGGAGGCAACTCCGTCATTCGTTCGCGCGCAGCGGCGACAGTGCGTCCCAATCTCTGGCCCGCCGTCGCTCATCCTCCGTCCGTCAGCCGTCCGCCTTGCAAACCCAGTCAATCACGTCCCACGAATAACCCCAATCACCGTCCCAGCATACCAATCCGACGAAAGCCTCCCTCTAGGGTTCGGTCACACAAGAGACGCCTACCCACTCCTCAGCGTCCCTGAGCGACGGCGCAGCCGCTTAACACCATCCCCAAGCAGCCTGCTCGTTGAGCGCAGCCAAGGCGAGACAGAAAGTGGCCGAACAAGCATCGCATTACCACCCCGACATCGTCGCAGCGAACATCTCTCACCAACAGATATGGTAGCCGCATTCGCAGGCAGCGCCGCAAGGGAGACTGAGAATCTGCGGCCACCCGAGGCCGTTCACTTAACGCAGGATGGAAGCCGTCGCCGCGATGATCTCTCGCCCCGCCACGCCCAGTCAACGACCTCGCTTCGCTCTCAATCGCAGATTGCCTCCGTGCCTTCACATACGGGCCAGCAGCCCTCCGCCGATGTCGCCGAGGAGCTAGCATGGGGCCCTGCGCACCCCTGTTTCCCTCATCTCAATCCGCATGTCCCGATTGGATCGCATGAGTATACGACAACGCGTGTGATTCGGATTCGACGAGACTGGATGATCAAGGGTGATTTGGCGCCGACTTTTTCGAATCTTTACCCTGAGATTCTGGACCCATTACTTTCTGAGCAGGAGTTCCGGAAAGTCATTGCTACTGTCAATGATGGTATCATCAAGGCGTTTGATCCGTTCAGTTTGCGAAATTGGTTTGACGGTGCGGTTGGCTTGTTGACCGGGTGGGTTTGGGATGACCTTAATGCCCCCGGGGCTAAGAGTCAACTGCAGCATGTCGAATCCTGGCTGGAGAAGTGGAACCAGGAGGTTGGGGCTAAGGATGGTGTTCATATTTGGAGTCTTCGTCGGACCGCTTATATGTCGCTTGATATCCAGATCCCTGATCCCAAGGTTGGCATCGTGCCCAGTGAGGCTCCCTCTGCTCCTAATACCAGGCCTAGTACTGGTATCGGTGGGGTTTGAGTGTGCTACGTTTGCACACACACTCTTCCCATTCTGCTCTCTTTTTTTGATTGTATATGTTTGTAATTTGTTGCATTTCCCTTGGGCCTCTGCATGATATCCATCCCCCAGCAGTTTTCCTTTCCCGGATCTTTACCCTTCCTCTCTACATCTTTGGGCTTGATATTTTCTAATTATTTCTTTTGATACCTTTGGGATCTTCCCTATCACATTGTCTACATATTACCTCATTTTTGAGGGTGGCTTGCCCCAAGTTTACTATGTTATTTGATCTGGCCTTGTCCATATCTGGCCGATACACAGGATTCTCACATTTTGGAGTTGCTCAGCTTACGGAAAACATATATGATTGTTCTTAGATTAATTGTCACTTCTAAGATTTGCAACTTGCAACCGTGGAGCTCTATTGCTTCCGAAATAATCAGCTTATACGTTTTGATTCTCCCTTTCTCTCATCCAAATTTTCCTCCAAGAAGTTCAAGACAAATCTACGCAGGACTAGGTAAGCATTATTGGTTAAAGAAAAGATTTCGCCAGTAATTAAGTGGATTGAGTGTTGGTGTTGGATCATGTCTGATATACTTCTTTTCAATTTTTTTTATTTTTTTTTCCGAATATGCATACATATGCCAAGTACCTCGTGAAGATGTATTTCATACCAGGCTCTACTTAATTCACGAAAAACCATCGCATTGAGATTGAGAAAACATCAATATCTAGATCCAAATAAGGTCACCTCCTTTCCAGGGTTATACTCCAGGCGGTGTCGATCCACCCCCCACCCCCGTTCCCTAAGCTCCAACTTTCATCCACTGGACCTCACCAGACACGCACACCATGCTCTCAGGGATTCTCATATTCAACCAAAAGGGTGAGAACCTCATCTTTCGCGCTTTCCGCAGCGACTGTCGCCCGCGCCTGGCCGACATCTTCCGCATCCAGGTCATCTCCAACCCGCAGGTCCGCTCCCCGATCCTGACCCTGGGCTCGACGACATTCAGCCATGTCAAGCACGAGAATATCTACTTGGTAGCGGTTACCAAGAGTAATGCCAATGCTGCGCTGGTGTTCGAATTCCTCTACCGGCTGATCATGCTGGGCAAGAGCTATTTCGGGAAATTGGACGAGGAGGCCGTCAAGAACAATTTTGTCCTAATTTACGAGCTGCTCGATGGTAATACAGTCCCGCTCTAATCCAATGGCCCAGCAAAAGAAATATCTAACAATGACCTCTTTCACTTTTAGAAATCCTCGACTTTGGCTATCCCCAAAACACCGACCCTGACACTTTGAAAATGTACATCACAACCGAAGGCGTGAAATCCGCCATCGCCAACAACCCCACCGACTCCTCCAGAATCACGCAACAAGCAACAGGAGCCCTATCCTGGCGCCGCTCCGACATAAAATACCGCAAGAACGAAGCCTTTGTCGACGTAATCGAAGACGTAAACCTCCTGATGTCCGCAACAGGCACAGTCCTCCGCGCCGACGTCAACGGCCAAATCGTCATGCGCGCCTACCTATCCGGAACCCCAGAATGCAAATTTGGCCTGAACGACCGTCTCCTGCTAGACCCGGGCGAATCCTCCGGCCCCAGCAGCGGCCGCGGTGGCGGCAACGGACTCGGCACATCAAAGGCAACACGCGCAGCAGCAGGCTCGGTCACGCTGGAAGACTGCCAGTTTCACCAGTGCGTGAAGCTAGGCCGATTCGACGCAGACCGGATCATCTCTTTCGTGCCGCCGGACGGCGAGTTCGAGCTGATGCGGTACCGCGCGACGGAGAACGTCAATCTGCCATTCAAGGTGCACCCAATTGTGCGGGAGATTGGTACGACGAAGGTTGAGTATAGTGTGGCTATCAAGGCGAATTACAGCTCGAAGCTGTTTGCGACGAATGTTGTTATCCGTATTCCTACGCCGCTCAATACCGCTAAGACTACTGAGCGGACGAGCCAGGGCCGTGCAAAGTACGAGCCTGAGCAGAACAACATTGTTTGGAAGATTGCGCGCTTCTCTGGGCAGAGTGAGTTTGTGCTTAATGCTGAGGCTACTCTTACGTCTATGACGCATCAGAAGGCTTGGAGTCGGCCGCCGCTTAGTCTTTCTTTCTCGTTGCTCATGTTTACTTCTTCTGGTTTGCTTGTGCGGTATCTTAAAGTCTTTGAGAAGAATAACTATTCTTCTGTTAAGTGGGTGCGGTATATGACTCGCGCGGGGAGTTATGAGATTCGGTAAGTGGCTTGATATACACATCTGGTTTGTGGTGCTCATGCTAACTTCATTGACTAGTTTCTGATTGTTCTTGTCGTTCGAATGTGTTAATATCAACTACATGTCTGTGTCATTCTTCTTTTCTTATCATTCATTTGCACACGGCTGGGTGCTTGGCGTTGGATGGACCATACATACCTTGATACATATTGAATTCCATTCCCATTCAATACTTCTTCACCTTGGTCTGACAGTGACTAGAATGCAACCACTTATCGCTGGTGAGGAATCAAGGCATTCGTTGCAATATACCATTTGTTCACATTGATATCTGGAAAGATTGGAAACCAATCCGGCGGCACATGCACCGATGTGGTACCGCTGATGATACAAGACACCTTGTTTCTAGCATGTGCGTTAAAATCTCGCCCTTGGCCCATTTGATACTCAACAGACCAGGTGTCTGGTAACTGAAGAAGGCTGTTCAGATCCTCAGCCAGACTCATCGGACAAGCTCCTTCGAGAGCACTTTCAAGGGCAGGTATAGTCAAAAGCTCATCCAAATGCGAAGAATCGCATGGCGCAGAGTCCATATCCCTCGAACACGATACATTCAAGAAAGACGAACCATTCTCTTCCTCTACCTGAAGCCGCCCAGGAATCCAACCTGTAGAAGACGAATCTAGCTGCGATTGAGACAGATTCGAAGCGCCTTGAATGGCGCTCATTAGATCAGATTATGCTGGATTTTGAATGGGAATTGGACGTACTTCTTGTCGAGATCCTCGTAGCCATGCTCATACGTGACTGATATCTAGGATCGACCATTGGCCATTCTTTGCTGGTTGGAGTGTATTTTAGTAATCACAGGGAGAGAAAAGCGAACAGTAAGCCAAAAATCATCCAGCAAGCCAAGAAATCTATAGAATAACGCGATGGAAGCTGGGTTGGACTTTCAGAATCGTCACTGTGATTCAAGATCATATCATATCACGAGGACAGCCTGACAAGCCAAACTCTGCCAAGGCGCTTGTAAGCCTCAGAGAGACTAGCTGATTGTCTCAAAGGACAGCACTGTGCACATGTAGGGATGTATTCGTGCTAATCGAAGGCATAGCAGGAGAGGGCCTCCAATGGGACTTGCCCCAAATGGAAGTTGGAAGGAGTGGATTTCGAGAATCAATCTCTGCACTTTTAGCTATTGCACATGTATATGTTTCTGGCTTTTTCGCCAAATGACCAAATATGAAGTCTTTCCTCTTCACGTAACCCAAAGTCCTCGATACAACAGTGTTTTTGGTACTCTGTGGAGAAGGGATGGCTGTATACTATTAAAACCCCAAAGATAATCAACCCATAGTACTCTCCCTGATAGCTGCTCCCCTCCAAAATCCGAAGAGGACGGCATAAGCTATCAACATTCCTAGATCCCGCGCGTGGCTCATGTTGAATATCGATCATTCCGTACACTTCAATTGTATATCGACGCCCGTACTTTGGGCTTCTCTGGATCTCGACACAACTTCCTATTTCGGCTATGTACCTCCGCAAATCAAGCGGCGGCTGGGTCAACTAAGCCAATGAAGTCTGCACTAGCTACAAGCCCATGAAAAGTGGCTTGATGATAAGCATGAAGAGGTCGCCATTGGAAAATAATTGCGAACTTCTTCAATCTGTCCAAGATCACAGTCATGTATCTTCGAGCCGTCCACGCCGAACCATCCATCAAGGCTCTCTTCGACTTCATCACTGCGAACCCCCTGGGAATTCTCACCACGGCCATCTTTTCGCCGTCATATCCCTTTTTACAAGCCAGCCATATCCCATGGGTCCTCAACACAATTAGCGATGACCCAGACGCACCCGTGAAAGGCCGTCTTCGGGGACACATGGCGCGACAAAATCCCCAGGCCAAAGCCATCATTGAAGCTGCTTCAGCTTCCTCTACACAGATACTTCAACAGGATGTAATGATCCTGTTCACGGGGTCTCACCATCACTACGTGACGCCCAAATTCTACACCGAGACGAAACCAGCCACTGGCAAGGTCGTGCCGACGTGGAACTATGCCGCTGCACAGGTTCATGGCAAGGCTACCATCTACTATGACTCTTCCTCCGAGGAAATGTCTCAGTATCTGTCGCAGCAGATTCATGACTTGTCGGTTCTTTGTGAGACTGGGGTTATGGGTCATGGTGGCGACAATGGGAGGCCGGATCCTTGGAATGTTTCTGATGCCCCGGATCGATATATTGATATTATGAAGAAGAATATCATTGGGATTGAAGTTTCGATTGAGAGCATTGGGGGCAAGTTTAAGATGAGTCAGGAGATGGGGGAGAAGGATCGTGAGGGTATCATTAATGGATTTCACAATCTGGGGTCGGATGTTGGGACACACTTGGCTGGTATGGTCAAAGAGTGTAGTGAGATGAAAGATGCAGCGAAGATGAAGCAGTGATTCAACAACATATAGAACTCTTCTTTACTTTCACCAATAATCCATGACCCAAGACCTAAATCTTTCTAAAGCATAGAACATGAAAGGATGTACTTCCACCTCAAAACCTCATACTCCCAAACAATAATCCTATACTTCCTTCTTCGCCAAAACCCACTGAAAAGCAACGTCATGATCAGCCTCCTCAGAATCAACAACAACCTCATCAACAATGATCCCAAAACCCACGTCCTTAAGAATAACCCCAATCTTCTCCTTCCCCCATCCACTCCAATGCATAACCCCCTTCTGGCCCCCCAACCAAGCTTCATTAAACTGACTATCAAACTCCCCGGCCGGAAAATTAGCCAAAATGAAACCGCCTGGTTTCAACCACCCAAAGATCCTCCTCAGGATGGTCACCTGCTCCTCACGCGGCAAATGGAAAATAGAGTACATGGCCAATACAGCATCGAAAGATTCATTCGCGAAGTCAAGGCCCATCATGTCGCCTTCTATCAAGGTCACAGACTCCGGCAGGGTTTGTTTTGCCAGTGCGATTTGGGCAGAGGAGATGTCGTTTGCTGTTACTCTGAAATTCTCGTTAGAAGATAGAAGTTGTGTGACTGGGACGCCGGCGCCGCAGCCTAGTTCGAGGATTATTGTTTCGGTTGTTGAGTTGAGGTTTTGGAGGAGGGTGTTCACGTATGCAAGGCGGACTTTGTGAGAATGTTCGGTCCAGGTGAGATATTTGTCGGCGATGTCATCGTAGGCTCTTTTGATGTTTTCTTTTAGGTCGTGGTTGGCGGTTGAAGTGGTCATTTTGGAGGAAGGTAAAATGTAGTAGAGTGAATTAGGGCTTCGATCAAGCTGCTGGGTGCTTTCTTGTTGGAGGGGAAATTAATTGTATGAAAAGGCGTGATATTCCTGACTATTTATAAGGATTGTTTCTCTACTTGTATGGTTCAATGGGGCCGGACTTGCTCCGTACTATGGTGAATAATGACTCATTTGGCACATACGAGGTAGGTCAAAGCACTAGAGTTATGTGTAGAGTGGCCAGGTATTTGTTAGTGGTATCAGCTTATAGCGAGAGACAATACGATGCGTCTTCTGTATTAATTACTATTAATGGGAAATCTATAATAATGCGGAGATCTCGCAGTACGTTCTTTGACTCATATATCCGACTTTATCACTGGCTGTGGCGAACCGTCTTCTCTAATACATTTGTCATTGAGGAGGGCCGGGCGACCATCTTAATGTACATCTACTGAAGAGACGATGGAGTGACACCAAAGTCCAGAAGGATTTAATAAATCAATATCTGAATAAAATGACAACCAAGTTTAGATAGTAGATGTAGATAGTAGTACATATCCCAAACAAGCGCAAACCAAGCAAGAGATGTGCAGATGTGCAAAATCAACCAAGCAGGTTGTAACCATCATATGAGCAAGCCCAGGTAGGGGCGTCTTGTTAAAAAAAATCAAAGACAAAAGCAAAAGCATATTCACAGAGCCCGAAAATGGGACTCACAAAAGACCAAAACAGAATCAAAATAAAGCGCAATTTGTGCTAGAACAAGCGATAATTACATCCCACAGAAACAAGACAGATAATAGTACAGGGGTTGCTTTTTTGTTTGCAAAAAAAATCAAAGTCAATAAAACAGGCTGGCCAATGTCAAATCACAGGTTGGTAGTACAGGGGTACAGATCATATAATACATAATGAAACATGGAAATTGCGTTCAGCAATAGGGTATGGTGAGGTGGTTAACGGCGACGAGGGCGCAAGCCGACGCGACCCTCGCGGACGAGAGAGTGCCATCTATCGGCAATATTATCGCGACCCATTTGACGCGCGCACTCGTCCCATTCTTGTTGGGAGAGGCGGAACTTCTCGAGGACCAGCTCGAGAAGGCGTTGGTCTTGATCTTGAGTCCAGATGTTTGATTGAACAACTGGACTAGAGGAAGTAGGTTCCTCTGTGGCCTCGATGGAAGGAAGAGGCGCATCAGGATCGACGCGGGGACCGGCCGAGATGCGTGGGTTCATCTGACGGCGAGGGGGAGAAGGGGGAGATTGAGTGACTGGTGGAGAGTGGAGGGAGTAAAAATCTGTTGAGGACAGACCGAGAGGGATGTTGTAGGGAGCGTGGCGGATGCGTTTGGGGGTTGTGAGACGGTTGCGCCCGCGGCTCAATTCCGCGTCGCTGTCTTCGTCTTCGAAAACGTCGCGGCGGCGCTTGTTTGCGCCGCGCGATGGTGCACACGGTGCGGGTGGGGGTGTGAGAGCGGTGTTTCTAGGAGGTGGTGTTTGTCTAGGGGAGACGGGACGGGCGGCTTTGTGCGATCGCGGCGAGCGACGCGGTGTGTTGATTGGGAGAGGGCTCTGAAGGCGCTGGGTCTTTGAGCGGCGCGATGGAGGTGATGGTGATCCGTTGAGAAGAGATTGTAAGGCGCGACAGGTGCCGAGAAGGCCGTTGCCTGATGCGAAACCGTCGGATGGGGGAGGAGTTGAAAAGAGGCGAGTAGGGGTGAAGCGAGACGACCGGCGCACATCGCATGGGAGGGCGGATGGAAGCAACATTATTGTAGAAGATCAAAGGTGATATCAGAGCGATTGGAAGATTGGAAAATCGGTTGAATGTGTCAACGAGAGACGTGAGTCGCGGTCGCGATTTGTGGGCTGCGCGATTGCGCCGGAGGCGGTTGCGATGCGCAACGACGGAGTTGGGGTGGTCAGAAAGAATGTATGATGATGTGGTTGAAATGCGCTTCGATTTCCACCCGGTCCGAGGGTTGCGACAGTGGGAAAGTGGTGTTGATGTATTTGAGCGAATGTGTTTGTCAGGGAGAAGAGTTGGCGGGGAGGGGGGATCCGAGCGATAAAAGAAAATTGGGCCGCAAACGGTCAAGCGAACATCTCCCGAACTTCCACTCTTTGTTATACTTTTTCAAGAGTGTTTGAGATGTTTCTATTCCCGAAAAATAGAGAAAAGAATATGTAGAGTGGGAGTGTTTGAAAATAGAAACGAAGGTCAGAGCGAATGCTCAAAGGACAACGAATGGCTGGAGTGTTGGTGTTGGACTGGATTGGAATGACTGAAAAAGAATGGAGCGAAGGTCTGGTCTATTATACTAATATACTAAGATACTATACTATTATACTATGATTCAGAAATCCCAGTGAAACAATAGAGCACCTTAGAAAGGGCCAGAGGGATTGCATGCAAGGCTCTACAGAGGAGAACAGGCACGAGGAACCCCTGAGACATGACAGGGATCAACTTTGTATTGCCTCATTGGGACACTCTGAATTGAACTGTGCATGTTCATTGTAACATTTAGTGTGTGAATTGTATGAACTGCATGTATTGTACGTCCAAGCTTAGGGCTGCGTCAATGGCTTGCATGGTGCATTAATATTACCAAGGCGCGTTGATCCCAATATACTTGTAACTTATGATACCTTATGATGTAAATCTCTGATGATGGGCAAGTGCCCGTTTAATAGTCTTCTAAAAAGAGGAGGTTTCTCTCCTGCCATTCCGCTGCCCTTCACCAGCCTAGGAGGGTTGGGGTTCCCTGCCATACCAGCCCTCTAGGCTCTAAGGATTATACTGGGGTATTCAACCTGCTCTTTGACCTATGTGCCTTTCAACATTCGACTAAATGTTTGACTGTGGAGGCTTCTGACTTTTCAATGAGAAACGCGGGAACGCGGGAACGCGTCGGCGCGTACCGCGTTCGCGACGCGACGTGATACATTACAATACACAAAGAGTATAGAGTAATTTACAATACAAACCATTTACCTATACACTATGTACTGCAAGTATGGACAGCACAGTATGGACAATAGAGTGTACACTCCCTCTAGGGTCTAATCTTACCCAAAATCAAGGGAATACCCTATCAACAGGGTTCTGAGGGGTCCTTGGCAGCCTCGGACCTCAGCTTACATGTGCATTTGACATCGGGGGTTTTTCTAACACTCTTCAATACACTCCAACAACCCTTACTTGCGCAGATCACCTGGAGAACTCGTGCGCAGATCATGACTTGCATTATCTTGCAGAGCTCTACTGCATCATCGGGGTGCAGCCGACTGCGCATACTTGCTGCAACGGGCCGTCAACCCCAAGTTCTAATCTGATCATAGCGATCCTATAAACAAAGAAGATGCTACCATACCTCGATCTGAGAATATTCATGCTTTACTGTATAGCACGCATTAGCCAAAGGGGGCTTACTCTCCTTAATCCCAGTCTGGAAGATCAAAGGGCATCTATCCACCTGACCCAGTTCCACACACAGGGGACTGAACAGAGGGCTCTCTCCAAGGACACAGTAGCATACCAATCCCAGACCCACGAGCGCCCAGCCCCTTATCGATATCCGATCGCAAGCAAGGGGTATCAAGAGCCTCGATGGAAATATTCTCATTGAAAGACATCCATAGGCTACAAGAAAGTTAGTCTTGAGAAAACTAGGGCACGCACGAGACTCAAATCATTAACACCGGGTACTAAAAATGCCCAAACAGCCACAAATGAGAGTTTTTAATTTCCCATTTCCAGGACTCCTTGTCTTCGAGGACAGAAGCCTCTCCCTGCACGTCCCTGCAAGACCAATGCAAGACATCATCCCTTTCCCACAGCGGGCGCTAATGCAGATCATCTCCGCAAACCTGATCGTCCTTCGTGCGCACCTGTGGCTGGGGCGCCCTGGTTGCCCCTCCAACCATGCCCCGCTGGGGCTTCGTCCCTTCATAGGGTGGGGAGTGCTGATGGTCTCACTTACGCCTTGAGGACCTCAGACATCGTTCTGAATAGGGTCCTTGGCGGGCTTTTCTGCTTTTCTTTCTTGCTCTTGGCTGTGGCTGCCCTGGTGTTGCCACATTGGCTTGCTTTCAGTTGCCGAATAGGGATATTCACATTCTTTTTTGTGACTTTTGATGACTGGCTGAAGTATTGCTTTTTGTCTCCTTCATGTGACCAAGTCGCAGCTGATCAGCTGCCCATGGTTTGATATGATTGGGTCTTGGAGCTGAAGGCTATCACCTCGATTCAAATTATGTCGAAAACCTAACACAGACCCAATAGGATCGAACCTGACTCTGCAAGACCTTGATAGCATCGCAATGACCAGATACTCAGAACAGTCTCCCTCAGACAAGACAGTACCATCGAGTCTGATATGTTGCAAACCAGACTGGAACCATTTCACCGGCCGCAAAACTCACATACAGTAAACCACTCCGAAGCTATTGAATCATATCATTCATCACTACTGTAAGCCCAAACTGAGACACTCTCTGGGCTGAACAAAGATCAGCACGTTCACTTTCCCTCTCGAGTCCAATTTATATCCCCTTCCCCCTCGGCCTTCGGCCTTCAACTTGCCCTAACCCTATACGGTAGATGTACATCCCATGCAGGCTGCAACCGGTAACCCCTAGCCAGACTGTCACGCGCCGCGAACCTACGCGGGTACTTACATGTATATGTAGTTGTACTAACGTTACTTCCATACATTGATCTATTTATACTTTGCTTTACAGTGGCACTGAAAGTGGGCCATCGACAGTCCTTTACCCGAGACCCTAGGGGTGAAGAGTGGACTTATTGAATTATCCTCGCTGTATAGAGTATCTTGTCCAATGCAAGTGGATGCACCCCTTCTCTTTCTCTTGTTCCTTATCTAGGTTGCCTTATCTTGCCTCCTCCTGTGCCTCTGTGGAGAGTGGGCAGTGGGTCATGTATCAAGGCACAGAAGGATTGTGAACTATTGCTTGTTCGATTTGCCTTCTAGGGATGAATTGTAGAGATGGAGGGTTCATGGTCATCTGGCTTGATAGAGATACCTAAAGATAGAATTGTAAGTGCAATCGAGCAAGGGTTACTTTCTTCTTTGTTCATTTCACTGCCATTATTTCGATTCGCATGGTGAGATACGGCTCTCTAGCAACTCTCTAGCAATAAGGATGCCTTATGTTCTAACTTGTTCCCTTATGGTAGTATCTAATTTGATCAATACGAAGGTTCCAACTTTGCAACTTTCGAATGCTTACTTTGAAGGGGTAGACACTCTCAATTTGTACTTCGTCAGCAAGACTACTCGTTACAGCATAAGGAAAGTAAGAGTCATGAGAACACAATGACAATGATGCTAATATATGATATTGATAATTCGCCCCTATGCAAAAATGTATCTAAGAATGTCCATAAGAAAGACAAAGGAGCATTCACCACACCCAAAGCCTAAGTATATCCAAACCTCAATTCCCCTGCATCCTCTTAAACCGCTCTTCGGCAGCCCTAGCTCTGCGCTCTCTCTCCAGACGCATCTTCATCTCAGGAGTCATACCCCTAGTCTCTTCATCCCGCTTCTCAGCAGCAGTCTTCTCAACAACAGCACCAAGAGTCCTTCCACCCCGTAATGAAGCTTTATGCTCAGCAGCAGCTCTCTCAGCATCCTCGCGCTTCAATCGATCAAGACCAGCTTTGCGCCTATTTGACTCCTCCTCATCAGCTGCTTTCCGTTCCTTTTCGGCGCGACTGTCTGCATCGGCTTTTGAGACTGCCGAGGGTACCTTCGCGGCATCCCAGTCCCATTTTGACTCGCCGAGATCGTGGCGGGCGATGCGGAAGGCGTCGCGCGTTGCTCGATCGCCTGTTAGCTCGAAGGGAGTTCTGCCTTCGTTGTTTGTTGCTGTTGGGTCTGCGTTGGCTTTTGTGAGAAGGGCTGTGACGACCACCGGGGTGTTTAGGTTTGCCGCTAGGTGGAGAGGTGTTGGACAGCGGAAATTTTGGGGTTGGCTGGCGGGTGTGAAGGTGAAGGTTGAAGGGATGGAGTTGTTTGTGATGTAGGACATAAGAGCGGGGACCTTTGAACGCCGGATGAAGGCCTGAATTTGAGATGTATGTAGCAGGGCGGCTTCTTCTTCCTTTGAAATCTTGGGTTTTTGTGGTTGCGGTTGCGGGCGAGGTGTGGCTGGTTTTGATTCTTCCTCGCGCTTTTTGGCTTCCGCAGCTGCTACTGCTGCTTCGTCGACTTCGCTGACCTTCACGCGAGTGAGCTCTTTGAAGCATCGTAAGAGCTCTCCTTGGGTCGCGCGGCGCGTGTTGAAGGGGAATCCTCGTATCCTGGGGTCTTTCTGCTTGAGGACATTTCCATCATATTGATCAAAAAGGATCTTGCGGTTCGTCTTTCCTGTCGCACGGACGAACAACAGCTCGGCGCTGTCAATCTCCTTGCGCCAATCCGACAGCAAGTCCCGGATGTCTTTTTCAAGAGCAGCTTCGTTGTAGCGACGCAGGCTGGAGCCTGCTGAATGGGCAGCACCCCGAGAGGCATCACTCGCGGATTGCGAACCACCCTGCTTTCGTCGTGTCGTGTATCGGTGGAAGGTCTTGTGTGCAATAACCCGGGCTTGCCGGTCTTCGACACCTCCTTGTCTTCGGTGGATTTCCGGTGCCAATGACACCAGCATAGCGGCGAAGTGGCCGCCCCCAATCATGCACATGAAAAAGTGAGGACCAGAAGCGGACGGAGCCGGCGCCTTACTCGAATTATTTGTACGAGCCTTGATGGGTTCCAACTGTTTTCGCTGTAGTGTCTCAACAAGATGGCCGGGCTCGTCCTGTTCGGCGTTCGAGAAAATAGCCCTGTAAACGCCCAAGGACTTGTTTGACGGCAAACCAGAACTACCCAGCCAAAAAAGAGGATGTTTCGGGGAGCTCGTCACAGCAGTTTCTATTTGTTCTTCGGGGTGGGACAGCTTGGCCTGCTTCTTCAAAAGCGCTGACAGTGTCGTGTTCGCACCAGTATCTGCGTCTTCTTCTTCGGTCTCTGAAGACTCTGATCCCGATATAGACTCATCTAGCTCCCCAATCGCTTTCGCAAACTCAATCTCCTCTAGAGGCGCGTTGCCGCGCAGCTGGGCTTTGATGTTGTAGCGGTGGTGATCGGACCGGACATGGCTGCGCTGTTCCTGTACATTGTTGTAGGAGACCTGACAAAGGGAGCAGATGGTAGAGGCTGCGATCGCAGAGTCCTGCGCTGCAAGTTCAGCATCTTCCGGGTTTATCTCTGGCTCCTCTTCGGTAATAGGGTTCGTGGTTTTAGTCGTGAGAGTCGCGAGGAGTTCCGGTGGGAGGTCGTATACTGGGAAGATTAGCAATGGCCAGGTCGAAGTTTCAAAGCTCGGAAATCTACCATATAGAGGCCTTTTCAGGAACTCTTCCATTCTAGTTGTATCCGCCATGATGTGCTGGGCGAAGAATGTGTATCGAACTCGTGCTGCCCCTCCAATGACGCTGATAAGTGGGTTCTTACCGCCTAAGGAATGCTGGCATTATGTGCTTTCTTGCTTGCTTTTATGTCTTTTTTCTCGTTTGCAATTGAGGTAATTGAGATTTTGAGATTGAGTCACAGTGTTTTGAAATGCCTTGCTCAGCCCTGGTGAATTCAATGGCAGTAATAATCCGTTGGAAGTATCTGGGCTGTGCTTGTAGATGCGGAGCTAACCAGTCGGCCTCCCATTTGGGAAATTTGACTCATGGGCTGCGGTCATCTTCTCTTTTGTGTCTGAGTCTGGTACTCATACATTTTGAATCTTTCCAAACAAGGGGAGTCCCTATCTCTAGGCGAGCTTATACTTCTTCGCTCTCTACACTTCACGTGATCAATATTCAGACAAAAAAAGACTTTCTACGTCATAAGGTTTGCACTGTTTGACACCCAATCTATATCCAGAAATGCTGCTTGAATTGAATGATATAGCTTGAACCACTACTTAAACGAAAATGAATATCTCGTCTCTTTATAAAACCTCGAGAAAAAGATTAAACCAAAATTTCAGGTACAACCTCACAGCGACAATCTAGATAGCAATCAGTGTTGCGACTTGCAACTGGTACAGTAGTTCAGTGTGACATGGCACGAGTTAGAAAGATAGGTAGTTCCACACTTCTTGACGCCGTCATTGTCCTTCATATACTCGATGCTGTTAAATATATGTCAGTTAGGTATTCACAAGATACAGAGACCAAATTGGACTTACGCATCCTTGATCTGTCGTCCGGTCATTCCAAATCCATAGTCATCACACTTATACTGGGCAACACAACCAGCTTGGCCAAAGGTCGCAACCATGACCATGCCACTCTGGATCTTGGCAGTATAGGATGCAAAGCCACTGTAGACAGTATCATCCTCAAACTGCTCATAGGCACGCTGGCAAGCATCATCAACACTGGAGCATTGGCTCGAGCCCTTGTTGTTAACATCAGTCTGAGTTGGAGCCGCCGTCTCTAAGGTGACAGGGGATCCAGCGCCATTTGTGAATGTGTATTGTTTGCCATAGACTTCTCCGTATTCAAGAGTTCGCGAAGGGTAGGAGACGATGTTTCCATCTTCAGTCTTGACAATAGGCTCGGGGGTTGCTGTTGTCGGTGCTTGAGTTACAGTTGACTTTGGTGTGATGCTTGATGGGAAGGTGGTATAATCGGTGCAGTGATCGGAAATCAGTGGAGCTGTCGCATAGTATCCTTCTCCATCAGATGTTGTAGTACATTGACAGTATGGAGTTGCGACCATAGGGCCACCTTGGTTGAAACATACATATGAGCTTTGGGAGGTTGAGGTTGAGCTCGGACTTAATGTAGATGTGATCGGGGCTGAGGTTATGCCTGAAGATGAGGCTGGGGCTGCCGATGAAGCTGGTCCTGTAGATGATACAGGCATTGAAGAACTTGATCCATGTGAGAAGCTCAGTCCAGATGAGCTTGGTGCCGATGACGAGCTTGATGTTGATGATGATTTTAATGTGGGTGGAGAGCTTGCTTCTGAAGAGGGCATGGAAGATGACCCTGAAGGTGATGACGAAGCTATTCCCGATGATACATTTCCTGGGGCTGAAGATGTGGCTGATGGGAACGCCGATGAGGATGACGACCTTTCGGAAGATGATGGATGCGAGGTAGAAATGGAGCTCCGGAAAGTAGTTGCACTAGAGGCTAGGGAGGTACTGATTCCATAGCTACTTGAGCTAGAGCTGGAAGAATTGGTGTAGCTGCTACAGGGGTTTGCATAACCACCATCACGTTTCTGGAAACTTCCTGCAGGAGCTGCTGCGTGGGGAAGCCAGAAGTCTTGGTAAGTTATCAACTGATCTTCTACCCACAGGCGCCAGCGACCAACTTGAAGACCCGCAGAGCCTGGATCATTGGGTGTGGTGAGCCACGTTTGGAAAGGGTCGACCTCAAGAATAGCTCTTCCTGCGACACCTGGCTCCTGGGTAGATGCTTGTTGACTCGTGCGTGTGTATCCCATGACAATGCCTTGTCCGCCAGATCCGGGGATGACATTTGCCAATCGTTGCGCGAGGTCATTGGCACGGTCTTGATACCTCAGCCTGGTTGAGATGCCGAACATTTGCCGATCGAAGTCTGTAGTATAAGGCGTGAGTACGAACACTTTGGGGGCGTAGATGGCATTTAGAACACCCGGGCTCTGATCGGAACCAATCAGATCTGTCACACTTTGTGCAGATGCAGTACCATCCCGTAGGGAATTGAAAGCAGTTGATACAAAGTAACTGTCATCGGTTGGACTGAAATCACCATGAATGAACACTGGACTCTCCCATATATGAGATATGTAAACACCCTTCTCAGATGCAATGATCACCGCTGTGCAGCCGTATATACCATTTACACCAGCAGCCGAGTGACCAAATGTTGGGAAGTCAAACCATTGACCCGATGCATCACCCGACTGACTGACCCAGACAGGCGTCAGAGACCTAACATAGTCTGCGTAGGGAGGCGAAACATCTGCAAGAGCACGTTCAACTAATGAGCGATCCACGAGGTGATTTTCATGGCTGCTAGACTGGCTTCTCTTGGATGCAGAGCTAGACTGTGTTGGTGCTGTTACTCCAATGCTCCCAGCAATACCATAGCTTCCAGTTGGCAAAGTAGCAGTTGTACTTGTTGAGATCAATGCACAATTCTCTGTGGTTGCTACCACACCCATGCTAGCACCACTAAGAGGACCTTTGTTCATTGGGCATGACTTGCCACATGTATCAGAAGCACACGGGATTTGGGTGCCAGTTGCTGAAGCAGAGGTTGAAATGGTGGTTGTCAGCCCGGTAACTGAGCATCCAGCGGTAGTGACAGTTGTTGAGGGTGTACAAGTTGTGGTAGGAAGAGTGGAACTCCCAGTCACAAAAGACGTAGGTACACACTTCACGGTCACCTTGAATGCAGTCGATAAATCTGTGCATGAAGAGGATGAGGTCGTGGTTGATGAATCAGAATTGGAGCTTCTCTCGCTGTTGTCTTCATTGTCGTTCTCTGTGAGGTTGTCGTTATTCTCTGTGAGCTCATCCAGCGTGTCGTCAATGGAATCAATGTTCTTTGTGTTGATGTCGTCTGTGACCTTGCCCAGATCCTCATCGATGCAGGTCAATGAAGTAATGATATTTCCAATGGAACCAAACAATCCTCTCTTCTTCTTTGAGTTACACCCGGAAGAGGAAGATGAGCCACCAAGATCAGAAATCAGTCCCTCGACTTCTCCTCGAATTGCTTTGACCTTATCAAGGGTCTCAGTCTTGAGATAATCTGGGTTGTTCTTCCAAGAATTGATGATTGGAATCAAACCAGCAATATCCGAGGACACTGAAGACACACTTGATGTTGCTTCAGAGCTTTGGATAGTCGATGTGACAGGCGGAAGAGTAATTGGGGTTGAGTCTGAGCCGCCAGTAATAACCGAGACTGCCACAGTGCTACCTGATTTAACAATCGTGGAAGATACTATGGAAGGGCTGTCTGAGTTTGCACTGGACGGAGCGAGACTCTTGCTGCTACCACTGCCTGAGGGCGGAGTTGATAAAACACCGAGACTAGTACTGGGGCTGGCTGTAGGTGAAGCACCGGAGAACGAATAAACGATGTTGCTGGTACTCTGGTTTGAGCTTCCAGGGCTCCCAATGCTAGAAGCCTGGTCGGCGCTGGATAAAGAAGACCCCGGAACGCTGCTGGTGAGGGATGAGATTCGAATGCTAGAAGGTTGGGTGGTACTCGAAAAAAATGGTCCCTGGATGCTGCTGCTGATAGATGAACTTCCGGTGCTGCGAACTGGTATCGTAGTTGAGGTAGATGGTGGAGCGCTTGTAGGTTGTGAAGAAGCTGGCACAGTCGAGGACACCAAGCTATCCGTGTTTTGAGCAACGCTTCCCGTGCTAATCAATGGCTTGGAGCTTGACGTGGGAATCACGTTGGACGCACTGGACCCAACTCCATAAGAGGAAACGCCGCTCGAAATAATGACTGCAGAATTTGTTTGCTTGGGTGCAGATGAAGAGGGGCTGCTTGAAGAAGGGTCAATGGAGCTTTTGTTTTGTCCACTGCTAGCCCTAAAACTGAAAATTGCCCTCGCGTTAGTTTGTTTCTCGCACAGTAAAAGTTCTCACAAAGTTTAGCCTCATACCTCGAAGATGTCGATGGAGAAAATGTGGAAACGGAGGAGCTTCTACCGCTAGAGCTTCCTATGACGGCTCCAGAGGTGAGCTGTATAATTGAGGACAGAGCCAAGAAGGCCCTTCCAGCGGACAAGGACCAGCCTTCAGAAGGTCGCATTCTTATATTCTGCGGAAGGCTGATGCAAAAAGTATAGAGTAATAGCTTTATGGGTCATCTACGGTTGGTATACCATTGGGCCTCTCTTAAGTATCTGAGAGCTTGTCCCGTTGGACACCGCGATATTTCATATTAGGCAGGGGCCCACGAATCATAGTTTGATATGAAACCTTTGGGGCCAAATGAACCGTTGTAGGGATCATATGGTGGTTTTTCTGGGGCTAAAAATTGTAAGCACAAGACATTTCAATCCGTTGATAACGTATTGATTATGATCTACATCGAATTCCATATTACAAGATGAAGGATTAGCGGCAAATACAGTACAAAGTAATGGTCCATGTATTCCAACCGTAAGCTGTAGATCAGCCGCATGTACACTAACCGTTAGATTCCAAAGACAAGGCAGATTCGACTCAGTACCGATCCGAAGCCATCAGTATGGCTTGCATTTCGCTATCGAACTACAAAATCCGTTCGCTTACTCTATAGAATCTTCAAGCATCTAGTCATGTCGAACTTCAAGTAAAAATTATTTGATTGATGCAAATGAACATGACTTGCGACCCTTGGATACGGATTTGCCAAATTTCCGCCCCAGGGGTAAACTCAGATACATGCACAATGAAGAAATCTGACAGGGGTAAAGTGGAGAACCCTTGTCAGCACTAAGTAGACATCGTCTACCTGAATCAATTGGGTAAGGCTGAAGTTTAGGATTGATTTATCGGATGGGGGACAAAATGTGAAATCTAAATGCTAACGTACCGGCCATTGCCATGTCCATGGAAGTCTGATTTCGAAATTTGGGTCAATATACAGATACTGATTTCAAATTCGGAATGCGTTTTCAGCTGTCATTTCCCTTGAATGATGCATAGTCTATATCTTTCGTGGGGTTCTTAATCGTTACTTCTCAAAGCTTCAACTCGTCTTTTACTTGCCTTCTTCCGTCTAGGTACTTCTCTAGAGCTACTTTATAGACTGACTTGGTGTAAGAGTTATGCTAATTGTCAATCCTTGTGATAACCGTTTTCAAGAGGCACAACGCAGTCTTCTCGGGGTGGTACCGATGTGTTCAATACTTCTAGAGAAAAGTGTCTAATGAATGGAATCAAACCGTGGTCTCTCGCATTGTGGATCCAAGCCCCCAACGATCGACATGTTGTCCGCACATTTGCCACAATTGGCCCCCGTTCTGCAGTGTCTTTGGATCCAGCTTCCTTCATTCCGGTTATATCAAGGACTTTGGCTGTTTCAATGGGGCTAAACAACTTCCGACCAGTAAGCACTAGCCTTCAAATAAGCACTAAGTATGATCAACGTGTTACTTTCCACATTCATGAACAGACCCTTCGTCAATTTTAAATTTAGGAATAAAGCGTGGGGGCTGTCACATGACTCGGATTGGGAAATGTTTTGGGGCTTGCAAACCAACGACACCAGCGGACACAATTTATTCAGTCCTTTATTGACTGGTCATTGATTACTGATATAGCCAAGATGTCATCTCAACGGCAAATGCAGCAGCAGATGCAACAGCAAAATATGATAATGGCACGTCAACGGCAAATGCAAATGATGGTGATGCAACAAAGAGCCGCCAACAGCAACACAGCTCCACGGCAACAAATGCAAGCGCAATCACAAACAATGGGTTCAACATATGACGATCTTCCAATCAATAGCCCTAGTGATATTGAATTTACCAGTGGACATCCTACATTTTTTGGTCAACCCCCTGCCTTTTTCGGTCCTTTTGCATCTGCCTGCCGACGCGGTCCACTCTCTATCGTTCAGTCTACTATATCTGAGGAACAACTTACGCCGGCATTCCTTCACCATGGCCTGACGCTTGCACTCAGCGCCGGTAATATTAAAGTTGCAAGTTATCTCCTCTCTAATGGGGCACCAATTGTTCGTGAAACTCCGCGCAGTGTCTTATCGGCCCCTCCGGACCAACAAATCGGTCTTTTCGAACTTCTCCTTCGCCATGGCTGGACTCCGAATACCCCAGGCTTCTATGGTACTACCTTGCTCCCTAGAGTTGTTATGAACCTCCCTCTTCTCGGCTGGTTCCTCGATCATGGAGCTGATCCCAACCTTGGCGCACAGCGCGACAACCGTGACCGCCGCGGTGGACCCGACACGAATTCATGTGTCACCCTTGAAGTAGCTGCAGCGGATGGCCCCGTGGAAGCTGTGGATTTGATTCTCAGGGCAGGAGTGCGGATTGAGAATGGGTTGCCATTACATTATGCTGCGGGGGTATGTCCTCCAGGTCAAAACCCACATGCTATGCGAGTGGAACCAAGTTTTGATTTCGATACGGACAGAATTCCAGTGATGGCTCTGCTGGTAGAGCATGGCGCGGATATAAATAAGAAAGAGGAGTCACGACATATGACGCCGCAGTATGCAATTGTGAATGCAGTCATGGCAGGAGCAGTTGAGCGGGTGAGATGGCTGTTGGAACATGGGGCAGATCCAAATGTAAGAGGCGCGTATGGTAGTGCAATCGAGCGTGCACGTGATATTGGAAATGAAATTATGATCAGTATGATTGAGGGGTTTGTTGAGCGAAGTTAACGTGTCAAGGTTTATATCACCAATTGTCTGAGTGGAATGGTCTTCGTGTCTATTGGGTGACATAGTGTATATCTAGCAATGTTAGCAGTTTAACGTGTTGGAAGTAACAAATACGTACTTTGGGTTTGCTTTTGCTGTCACTGTAAGATCTTGGTCATGCTGTGATGTTTTGAGTTAGAATGGAATCACGTCTGTCCAACGACTTACTATATCTGCCTCGGTGATTTATGATTTAGGTTATATGAAAACGCATTGTCAAGAAAATGGTATGTATGTATTGATACTGAATCGGTTATTCATAGTTATTGTGTATAAAAATATCAGGAAGTAGGTGTTGCTTTTACCCAAGTTTGATGATATATATATCTCACCCATGGCTTGGATATCGCGCGGTTTAAAAGAAGAAGCCTAGAACCCCCATTAGACAGAATTGGTTGATAGATAATATAAGCCATAGGATATAACAAAAGACCATAGTAACATGTCAAATATATTTACGGATGACTTAGAACAATAACAGAATTCTAGAAGTGCCAAGCAGCCGCATCGGTCTTAGTCCTGGCTTATCCCCGATGATTACGTCGTTTTCCACATCACGTGAAACAGTTGAAGACATGCCAGGGCCTTGCTTCATGCTCAAAGCGAGGGCGTTTGAACTCAAAGCTGAAAAAAAAAGTAATCGGATACAAGAAGCCCACAGAAAGCCATCGACTGATATGTAATAAGTCCGAGTTCATAGGTCCCAACGACATCGGTAAGCAGCCCCGATATCCCCAAAAAAAAGCGGAGCCGCCATTCGCTTTTAGTAAGCAACCTAGCTTTCCAACCCCCCGTCACCGTTCAAGGCTTGGAGTTTTTTGCTTGCCTGTGCACAGAAAGGCATATCGGATCGCAGTCGCTTCGAAAAATGCTGGATGGCCAATCCCAGGTGGTCCTAGAGGGATCCCAAGGAAACCTCTTGCATTCCCTCGGATCGGCAATCAATTCCCCCCGGCGACAGCCCTTTTGCACTGATAGCGAGGGCTGGGGCCCCATCAGCTCATCGAGATTCGACTTGACGCCATGCTTCCTTGACGTGATTGTGGCAGTAGTGGCTGTCTGGGGTACGCTGAGTGGACTGGGTGCCTTGTGGCTGTTGTTGAGGAAGCGGATTCCGCAGCCGGTAGCGAAGAACTGGCATTTCTACACCAAGTTGGTTAGTCATATCGATCACGAATATCCTTACAGGATCGCGTGCATGGTAACTGGTTGCTGACTCACTCTGTGTTTCTATAGGTCGTACTTGCTGCTCTTGTCTTTGTTACCGCCCTTCAAGCTGCGATTCAGGTCGAAACGCAACCAAAGGCTTTCTGGGCCGACTTCCAATTCTGGTCCTCGATCCTGACCATCGTCTCACTAGGAGTAATTACTTCGGTACAATACCTTGAGCATTGGCGGAGCAGACAGCCCAACGGCGTTGTCCTGTTCTTCTGGCTCTTCTTTATTGTCGCATATGCCATTAAACTGCGCTCTCTGGTTGCGCGCGAAGCATACATCGATCAACTCCCATACTTTGTTTGTATCAACGTGAGCTTGGGTCTGGCACTGTTTGAATTTGTGCTAGAATACTTCGTACCCAAGAAGCAGAGCGCATACGATGCCCTGGGAGACGAGGATGAGTGTCCTTATAACTATGCCGACATATTCTCGGTTCTCACCTTCGGTTGGATGACTCCGATGATGAAGTATGGATACAAGAACTACCTGACCCAAGATGATATGTGGAATCTTCGCAGTCGCGACACCACCCGGGTCACCGGTGATGCCCTGAAGGAGGCATGGGAACAAGAGCTCCAAAGCAAGAACCCGTCCCTGTGGATGGCACTGTTCAAGGCCTTTGGTGGGCCCTACTTCCGCGGTGCGATCATCAAGTCCGGAAGTGACTGCCTTGCTTTCGTCCAGCCTCAACTCCTGCGACTTCTCATTTCCTTCGTTGACTCGTATCGGTTCCCTAACCCACAGCCGGTCATTAGAGGTGTCGCCATCGCTTTGTCCATGTTTGTTGTTTCTGTCTGTCAGACCAGCTGTCTTCACCAGTACTTCCAGCGTGCCTTCGATACTGGCATGAGAGTCAAGTCCGCCTTGACAGCTATGATCTATGCCAAGTCCCTGAAACTATCAAATGAAGGCCGCTCGGCAAAGACAACGGGTGATATCGTCAACCACATGGCCGTTGATCAACAGCGCCTTTCGGATTTGACTCAATTTGGTACTCAACTCTTGTCTGCGCCGTTTCAAATCACTCTCTGCATGTTATCTCTGTACCAGCTTGTTGGACCCAGCATGTTCGCCGGTGTCGGGGTCATGATCTTGATGATTCCTTTGAACGGTGTCATTGCACGCATGATGAAGAAGCTGCAGATTGTCCAAATGAAGAACAAGGACTCGAGAACCCGACTGATGACCGAGATTTTGAACAACATCAAGAGCATCAAGCTATACGCCTGGAACACGGCGTTTATGAACAAGCTTAGCCATATTCGAAATGACCTTGAGCTTAACACCCTGCGCAAGATCGGAGCCACACAATCTGTTGCCAACTTCACCTGGCAGTCAACTCCTTTCCTCGTCTCTTGCTCCACATTCACAGTTTTCGTCTTGACAAGTGATAAGCCTTTGACCACTGAGATTGTGTTCCCGGCTTTGACTCTCTTCAACTTACTAACATTCCCGCTCTCTATCCTTCCCATGGTGATTACATCTATAATTGAATCATCCGTCGCAGTAAAGCGATTGATGGAGTACTTCACCGCAGAGGAGCTGCAGACTGATGCTGTCTCTTTCCAAGACCCTGTGGTACACCTCGGTGACGAGTCTGTTCGTGTGCGTGATGCCTCGTTCACCTGGAACCGCTACACCGGAGCTACAGTGCTGGAGAACATCGATCTTAGTGCGCGCAAGGGTGAGCTCAGCTGCATCGTTGGCCGCGTCGGTGCCGGAAAGTCTTCACTTCTCCAGTGCTTGCTAGGTGATCTCTGGAAGAACCAGGGAGAAGTAGTCGTACGTGGTCGCATAGCATATGTCGCCCAAGCACCTTGGGTCATGAATGCTAGCGTCCGGGAAAACATTGTTTTCGGACATCGCTGGGATCCGGCTTTCTATGACCTAACCGTGGAAGCATGCGCCCTCATTGATGACTTCAAGAACTTGCCCGATGGTGATCAAACCGAAGTCGGAGAGCGTGGTATCTCTCTATCCGGCGGACAAAAAGCACGTTTGACACTCGCCAGAGCCGTGTATGCCCGTGCCGATATCTATCTTTTGGACGACGTGCTCTCCGCAGTTGATCAGCATGTTGGGCGTCATATCATCAACAAGGTTCTCGGTAAGACCGGTCTGCTCAGTGGCAAGACTAGAATTCTTGCGACCAATGCTATCACTGTCCTCAAGGAGGCAGACTTCATTGGATTACTCCGTGACAAGACCATTATCGAAAAGGGAACGTACGAACAACTCATGGCCATGAAGGGCGAGATCTCTAATCTTGTTCGTACCACCATGGTTGACTCGGATGATGAAGGTACCGCTAGTGGATCCGAGGATCTTACCAGCGTCGAAAGCTCAGTCGAGACTGCCGTCATTCAGAACGGCGGTGACTCCGATGGTGATGACACAGAGCAACCCGGCGATCTTGTTCCCATCAAGGCAGCTGGCGAAGCTCGCAGACGTACTAGCACAGTCACTTTGCGCCGTGCAAGCACTGTGAGCTGGCAAGGTCCCCGACGCAAGCTGGGTGATGAAGAGAACGTTCTTAAGAGCAAGCAAACCCAGGAAACTTCCGAGCAAGGTAAGGTGAAATGGAGTGTCTACGGCCAATATGCCAAGGACAGCAACATTGCCGCTGTCGGATTCTACTTATTCGCCATGTTGGCTGCCCAGACCGCCCAGGTTGTTGGAAACTACTGGTTGAAGTACTGGACTGAGTGGAACGCGGCACATGGAAGCAATGCCCAAGTTGGCAAGTTTATCGGTGTCTACTTGGCGCTCGGCTTGGGCTCGTCTCTTCTGGTCATTCTTCAGAATTTAATCCTGTGGATTTTCTGTTCTATCGAAGCGTCTCGCAAACTTCATGAGCGCATGGCATTTGCCATCTTCCGCTCACCCATGAGCTTCTTCGAAACCACACCATCTGGCCGGATTCTCAATCGCTTCAGCAGTGATATTTACCGTGTTGATGAAGTACTTGCCCGTACCTTCAACATGCTGTTCGCCAACTCTGCCCGTGCCATCTTCACCATGGTTGTCATTTCAACTGGAACCCCTGCGTTCTTGTTGTTCATCATTCCTCTGGGCTATATCTATTTCAGCTACCAGAAGTACTACCTGAGAACCTCGCGCGAGTTAAAGCGTCTCGATAGTGTCACTCGAAGTCCAATCTTCGCCCACTTCCAGGAGTCCCTGGGCGGTATTTCTACCATTCGTGCCTATCGTCAAGAACACCGGTTCGCTCTTGAAAACGAATGGCGCATGGATGCCAACCTGCGGGCTTACTTCCCGTCCATCAGCGCTAACCGCTGGCTCGCCGTGCGTCTGGAGTTCATCGGCTCAATTATCATTCTGGCATCTGCCGGTCTTGCCATCTTGTCCGTTGCCAGTGGCAGTTTGCTTTCTTCCGGTATGGTCGGTCTGGCCATGTCATATGCTCTCCAGATCACACAGTCGCTGAACTGGATCGTTCGCCAGACCGTCGAGGTTGAGACTAACATTGTGTCTGTCGAGCGAGTGCTTGAGTATGCCAATCTCCCTAGTGAGGCACCCGAGGTGATCTTCAAGCGCCGCCCTGCTATCGGCTGGCCGGCTCAAGGTGCCGTTTCATTCAATGACTACAGCACCCGCTATCGCCCCGGGCTCGATCTTGTGCTCAAGGATATCAATCTCGATATCAAGCCTCATGAGAAGATTGGTGTCGTCGGCCGTACCGGTGCTGGAAAGAGTTCGCTTACATTGGCTCTCTTCCGTAT